CCCCTACGGAAAATGGGTCAAGGCTCGTTTTTACGGCAACAGACAACTGCAGACTGGCGAGAGCTTTCCTTACGATAGACAGGCTGTATCTAACCTGTCAGCGTGGTTTAAGTGCTTGTCACTCGCATCACCTGCCCTTAACATTCTACCAGCTGCGCGGTTGAGACGCGCGTTGTATCTCTCCACGATGCTGATTGGCACTCCACGATGCTGATTGGAAGTTTATTCATTTGCAGAACTCGCCAAACCATATTATCACGCCGCGTTTCGTTGTTTTGGCTCAGTTTTTTCTGGGTGCATTTATTTTTTGTAACAGAGTGTATTTATTGCAAGCCTAGCCCGCAAGTGATTTAGTTAAAATCTGCAGGGACACATCTTAAATAAATAGGTCTTTTCTTTATAATATAAGTACAAAATTTTTCACGTAAAGCTAATCGATTTCAGTTAATGGCTCTCTTCATGTGTACGAATTTCGATAATATTACCTTTTTATAATACTACTCCCCCTGCTATATAGTACTACTATTTGTTGATGCTATTTATCGTGCTGGTTTCAGACATATGGCTTCCTGCTCTGTCTTGATTTTTCTGGTGATTAATGTTTCAACTGGTTGACCTACTGCAGCTACCTTTGATCAATGCCTGTCAAGGCAGTAGTGAGGTGAGGAAATTTAAACAATGTAGTTTCGCACGAAAATTTTAACTTGCACTAATAATGAGATAGTATTAAATTCTAATTGAATGCTTTACTTTTTACAAAAATAAAAAATAATATTACTTGTCATATTTTTTAAATTAAAAACAATAAAATTAAAAACAAAAATTAAAATATTACAAAATATCGCGTTTATTAGGTGAGGTTTCATGATCACAGTTTAACTTTTAAAATAATTTTGTAACAACGTACTTATTGACATCTTTCAATGAAAAAATAAACAATAAGATTTCAACCCGTCGTCTTGGTGTTAAATAATTTGATACTAAATAAATCAAATTATAACAGACAACACTTTCCAACGCTTGTTTGAATTTTGAACTATCTACAATCGAGAGAGAAGGAAAACTCGCCGAAATAAAACAAAAATTTAGGCAAAGCAACAACTTTCTGTTTAGCGTATATTTTATAAAGACTCTGTCGATTTCGAAAGCAACAAGTACAGATCCCTCATTATCAGGAGAAAAGAAATTCTGCAAAGAAGAAATATGTGTTTATACCAGAAGTCAAATAATACGAATAAAAAGATAGCGCCATCTGTCCACTTTAGTAGTAACGAAACATGAAAAATTAAGTTAATAGCATTTTAAAAGTATTGGGAAGGACTAGATTGGAATTAAAATCATTAACTAACAGAAATTATCCAAAAAGCTTTTTCAGTCAGTGAACTGGATTTCCTTGAAATGGATTCCTTTCCACATTCACAAAGATTTATCTTTTTTTAGTTAATGACTTTAATGTTTAGTTAAATTCCAGTTCAATTCTAGTCTTCCTAATACTGTTAAAATACTACACACTCTTTCATGCTTCTTTACTGTTTGCGTGAACAGATAATTCTACCTTCCTGTTCGTTTCACTGTTTGGCCTTTGGTCTCCTTCTCTGCAGAGTTTCTTTCTCTCTCACACTAGTTTCTTCTCTCTTGGAGAAGCTCTTTCTTCGGCATTCCAGATATCTCACTCCCCAATTGGAGCACTAGACGGAACTAGTAAGAGCAGGGAATTTCATCTCCTGCTGTAAACCAGTATAACAAGAAAGTATCAAGCAGAATTTCTTTTCTCCTGATGATGAGAGATCTGCACTTGCCCTAGAAATCGATAGAATCTTTATTAAAATATACGCCAAGCAAAAGATTATTGCTTTATCTAATTTTATATTATCTGCAACAGTAAATCAAAGTATGATTCTCAAGACGAGTGTTTTCATTATAATAAGTAAGCATGCAAACAGAAGGAACAGGGAGCTTTCAAATCATTGACGAATTTAACAAAGGGTTCATGAGAATCCTCACGAGCTCCCTAAATGCCCGTTTACACTAGAGAAACCTTGATCCAAATAGACGTGGGCGAAATTAACGGCTCCGCTAGAAGGAGAAAAAAACCCACTCACAATTTTTGAGATAAAATAGAGAACTTATTCATTTACTGCATATTTATATATTTACAGCCTAGACCAGAGATCTCAAACTTAAATGTCAAGCTGACCGAATGTACGATCTAAAAACAGATGACGACCGGATCTTTTTTTAAACAAAGTAATTAATAAAATAAAGAATATTTATCATAAATTTTAAATTTTTCTAAGTTTTATTAAAACTTACATAAACAATAATATCACAAAGAATAAGTTCAAATTTATATTTGTTTTCTATCTGAAATTTAACGTTAAGTATCTGCAAGATATTTTTGTTAGTTAACACACTGTAATTCAAATATATTGACAACTAAATATTAAATTTTTATGCATACTTATTTCAAATAATTCTAACATGTTTAATTAATTGCTAAATAATTTACTTTAAACAAAAATTAAACACATTACGTAAAAGTGGGTCAAAACTTTAAATTAAATCATGACAATCTAGTCTCTCTTTCTCTCTCTTATTTATTAAACTTTTCTTCGACACATAAATAAAAATACGTATCTTTGTAAATAAATAATTATAAACTTCTCTATTTCTTATTAGGTTGACATTTGATGTCGTTTCTATTCTGGTTTGTCGTCTTGGAGAGAAATTGCTATAAATTATTTTCATAGTTTGTAGATGTTCATCTGTGAACCCGATTCTTTTCTTGTTAATTTTGAACTGTAAAAAAACATCTGTTCATATGTAAATGCATTCCGAATCAAAGCAATTATTCTTAGGAATAAAAATGCGTAATTACGCTTATTTACTTTTTGACAGGTAAGAATAAAAGTTAATAATATCCTTATCTTCAAATCTTTGGATACGATTTATATCATACTGTGAAATAATTACTCCATTTATAAATTTTCTGTTGCGATGTTCAATAATAATTTTACTGATAATGAAAATAATATTAACTCGGACTTCAAATAACTAAAATCTTGAAATTTTTGCAGCGATGCATAATTGATATCTATTCATGGGCAACACAAAATTGCTTCAAGGCCGCCAGTTTGAGACCACTGGTGTAGATGATAATGTTATTCAAAATTTCAAGAGCGAAATATTTCTGCAGCACATGAAACCAATTCCATTAAAAAGGAACTCGATGACATTTCTGGGACTCAAAAGTTTCTGAAAGAGTTAATTTTTTTTTTGGGGGGGGGGTTAAAGCATTTCTTGGGCTCTGAGCTGTAAACCGGCTTTTAAGCTTCCCAGTGGTCATTCTGGTATTACTCTGATCTGCTGCGGAATGTAATTTTTTCTAATGTGAAATAAAAACGCTCATTAAATTTCGTGATATTCATACAGAATCAATACCTGTTCTCAAATTCTGAAGATAAACACTAGTTTTAATAATTTCGTTCATTTCTTTCTTGATATTTTAAACTTTGCGATTCGGCGTTTTAATTTGCAGATGTATAGAATCATAAGACACTACGATTAATTTGCAAAGAGCATGCATTAACTAACCAGAACGGGCTTTCCTGATAGGGACGGAGAAAAGTGGACGGAGCATCAGAATTTCGTCGGTGATTTTACAGGTATTGCTCTACCACACTACTCTACCTAATGAGCGCACAGTCGGGCTGCACCAGAGCAAGAGATTCATATTTTTACATCATCTTTAAACATTTTCACATTTAATATGCAGTTAAACATTGATTATATAATTACATGCTATACAAAAGGTACAGTGATCTAAATAGATGAATATATTATTTACGCATAACTACATCAAAACTTAAGATCTCTTTTTAAATCCCAATATTACGGTGCGACATACAACTCGTTATGGTTACCATTAACAGTGATATAATGGTGCTTAGAACATACTGGCCAGTATCATGCCAATTTTTGTAATGTTTGTAAAGTGCGTGTCAGTTTACAATTCCTTTACCTAACTTTTATTAATACCACACTTCTTGGTTACTCAAATTTTGGAAGATTATGAGATTTGTTAAGACCCTAGCCTGGTTCATAGTATAGATATTCATGTTTTCAAATGCATTAGCTTCGATGAACTACATTTGAAATATGAATTACAATGTTACAGTGTGGCGTTCTTAGTAAACTTCGTAAATAGCTGTGCCATAATTTTATATATATCCACAGGTAAGATCCGTAGGTAGGATAACCAATAATGAATTTCATAAAATTTTTGCCTTAGCAGAGAAAGTGATAAACAATTGCCGTCTGTAATATCCAAATTCTAAGATTTTCAGCTGCAGTGCGGTAAACGCAGTTAATTTGAATTTCCTTTTACGTGTTTTTTTTTGGGGGGGGGCAGAATCTAGGAGCAGCACTGTAGTCCGAGAATCAGACTAGAAAACACTTATCTAAGCTATTCAGTTCATGTTAGCTAACTGTCAATGGGTGTGAAAAAGTGTACAGTTGCGTAGAGAAGCAAAATTGCTAAGGTGAATTCTGAAAATATCTTGAAGAGCTTTTCTGCTGTTATTTTCTTTGAAGAGAGTAAAAATGATAAATATTGCATTCATCATTTATTATAAAGTTAGTTCATTCGAGGCCAACTAGATATCTAGTTGCTAGTATTTATGGTTTTATACAAATGCTAATATTTATGCGATTTAATTAAAAAACTTGATATAAAATTCTTTTTATTTAGAATTATGTTTACCTAATGAACCAAGGCCCACTAGATATCTTGTTGGCCTTGGATCCAACTTGGTAGATATCTAATTGGTAAAGTGAATTTTATATCAAATTTTTTTGATTAAATCCCATAAATATTAGCATTTGTGTTTTAGTTGCTTTACCATACATTGAAAATGAAAGATCTGGATAAAAGTAGACGAATTGCTTCAATATTTCTAAAACTGCAATTGGCAACATGTTGAATGTTTTGGAAACATTAAGTGCGATATTTTTGCGTGCAAAAATTTGTTGTTATGTCAAAAGTGTAAACACTGATTTCATATCATGTATATATGCATAATGGAATAAAATTTGAAGACCGATATTTTAACGACTTCCGTGTCAGTCACTGACATAGGATTTATGATGAAATTTTACCTTAATATGTATATAATAAAGTGAAACGTCATTAATATTTTATTTATTGCATTGATTTGTATCAAAAGGAGATAATCATAAATAGCTTTCTTCCGTATTCCTGTGATGCAAAAAATATCTTTATATCTGTGATTTTATCTGTTTCATTTCCACTTTCATTAAAAAGTAATTTTTTTATCTATAACTTCAGTTCTTAGTTTTGTAAATTTTAATCTAATGTATGACTTTTTCATTAATGCACCAGTTTTATATTCTTAAAGGTTATCAGTACTTGCAAAAATGTTTGAAATATCTAACGTTAACAGCAAAGATCAGTTTTTAGAGCAAGCAAAAGCCGCTCGACTGGAAAGAGCGTTGGAAAAAAAGCGAGAACAAGCAGCTTTGACAATTCAGGTAAGTTTTTAAGAGTTTGTTCTCACATAAAATTTAAAAACTGTGATTATTATTTATTTCTACATTATTCTACATTTTTCTCCTGTAAGCTATTACTTATTTTACCTGAATTTTTAAAATGATAATATATTTGCATATAACATTATAAAGTGTGTGTTGTATTTTGTTTTGAAGGTACTTTATGCTCAATGAATATAATTTAAAACTCTGTTGTAGGCTTATGCACGTGGTTATTTTTCAAGGCAAAGGTTAAAAAATGATATCAGAAATGAATTTGATGAAAATTTTAAAGATTTCACGGAATCTAATAAATTACCTCCAGGTAAATATACTCTGTAATCTGTCTTTTATTGAAAGAAAAATGTTGTCATATCTCTTTAAAATACAAATGAAGCCTGTTTTATTTAAAACTCATGCATAACCCTCCAAAATAAAATTTAGCTCATTTCTTTCCCAAGGTTTCATATGCTTCTGTTCTTCACATTTATTTGCAATTACAAAAATTTAATGTTACATCTTAAACTTTTGCTGAAAAATTCAAAATTATTTTTTCAGTTTTAATTTATTTCCCCCCAAAAAATACTAAATTTCTCTGCACCGAATATTTATACAACAAAATCATCTGAAATATTGTTATAATCATAGTGCAGTTTTGGTAAGAAATGGCATATTGAAACTGTTGAAGTGATAGTTACTATATTGTGTTCCTCTTCATTATATTAGGCATTTATAGAATGGTTATATATCAAAGGATTATTATAAATTGTATATCTCTGTTTATGTTATGCATTTCGATCATGAAATGTGGTAAAGTCATGGAAACTGTTTACAGTGTTTTTTTATTATTATTATTATTATTATTATTATTATTATTTTCAGTTATGCCATAAAATTATTTTGTTTATGAAAGAGAAGGAAAAAGCAGTACCAAAATTAAGTAATGATGAGTGATTTTTGGATTTCTGCTTTTTAGTGGAAACGCGGAAACCTACGAAATGTTAAAACATATTTATGGCAAGGAAGCATTATCCCGCTCAAGAACTTCTGAATGGTTTAAACGCTTTCAGGACGGGCGCGAAAGCTTCCTCACACAGGTCGTCTGCAGTCCGCACGCACACCAGAAGCAATTGAAAATTATTAATTAACGACTGTTGACTATAATAGATATGCAATGAAAAATTGAAACACTTTTTTTAGCATCAGAATAAAAAATGGTTGATCTTTACAATATGGTAACTGGTAGTTTGGCGACATTTTGGAGGCGATAAAGGTTACTACCTGGGACTTTGGTAATAATGTGAGCAGTACTCAGTTCCGATTACGCATTATTTTGTGTGAGGGAAATGAGAGATCGTGGGATATGTCATGTGATATTAATGGACAAATTACGGCTCTTTAATCAGAAAAGGGGGGAAATCGGGAAAAAATCTGGAAATTTTGTATTTGGCTTTATTCTGTGTTGTGTGAAACAGTGTTCGTGAATTTTTGGATCCCATGGCCGTAACTAAAGTGAATTCGAAATGGGTATTTATGTATGTATTAATTTAATGTATGTGCTCATTTATATTTTAAGTAGTGTTTTGAATTTAATTATATTTTAATTAAATGATAGTTATTTTGTGAATTTTATGTTTGTAGGAATTGGTATACGTTTTAGTTGAAGTAAACGTGCATGGAAATAATTTAAATATCTGACACTAAGTATTTGTAATAGTTGCGGTATGAATTCGTTGGTGATGTGTATAATGTAATAATGATTTAGAGGTAAAAGTTTTTTGGATATTTTATTTATTTATATGTGGAAATGTTCATATTTGGAAAGGGTAAATACTTTTTCGCGATCAGGTAATTTCATATATGTTCTTTTTTACCGGGTTTAAAGATTGAGAAAATTATCATGTATTTTCGTGAAATTTTTCTAATTTATGAGAAAAAAGCAGTGTACATGGATATAGTGAAGAGTGTGAGCCAATGCTAATTTTGTGCAATTCTGGGATGTTTTTTTAAGTAAAAATAAGTCAGCGTTTGTACATGTTTTATGTGTATGTGTTATTTTGAAAAACGCGTAAGAAAGTATGGTATTGGGGTGCACTTTTTCCCAATTTTGCAGTGAATATTTGTCATGATTAAGCAGTTTTGTTAGATAAAATTTCTAGCATAAGTGTAATTCGGCTAGTAGATTGTTGGAAGAAGTGTTCAGTAGAAAAAAGAAAAGAAACATGTCTTTACTTCGTGAAGACAAAATGGCGGCGGAAAAAAAAATAGAGGGTTGCTGTAGGAGAGTTGGTCGCCAAATTTTCGCCAAAAAACGCCAAGTTACCATAATGTAAAGATCAACCTAAAAAATTTTATGTCACTTACATAACAAATGAAAAAAATAATAATAATTTGAGAAATCTGGCACCAAAAGTTATAAATGCTTTTGAATCAAATTAATGTCTGCAAACCTTTTTTTCAAAAGTGAAATTCATGAAACAGAAATTGCAGGTGACCTTAACTGATGAAAATCTGAACAATGATAAAACTGATGAAACAATTATCTGCAACTACAAAGGATTGAAATCTACTGAAAAAACTAAAGGAAGAAAAGAAAAAAAAATATCCTATTCATTTTAGCAATATAATATTGTTTGATTATTTTATCAATTATTGTTGTTAGAATTATTTGCATATAGTCATAAATGTTTAACTGTTTTATTGTTAATTTATGAATAATAATAAAATGTATTCTGTTTTAAAATTTTCACCTAAAAAATTTATATATATACGATACAGCCTACTAGATTAAAATGCAATTCCAAAGAGGCGCATAAAGTCTTTTGAGTTGGACTGGCCTGCTCTGACAGACTCAGTGCCTTTGCATTCTCTGTTGCTGCACACTTTGTTGGTAAAAGATTCCACTCATTCAGTCTCATCTGTAAAATAAATCATTCAATCTTTGAATGACATCTTTTATTATTGTAAATTTTTTGTAGTGATATATAATTATTTTATCATTGTTCCTTCTGTTCAATCTTAAACCAAAACATTCAAGCGTATATTCTATATTATTCTTAAAAATGTTGTATTCATTTGTCAACTATTTCAAATTATTGCTATGCAGCTATAACTTGTCTAATCATTGTTATGATAATACATATTAAATTAAAGAAAACACTAAATCGTAATGATAAATTACTTGTTTTAACTTTTATATCTTTCTTTTCATTTAGCCATTGATATGTACAAAACAATAAGAAAACTCATGTTTATTATAAATGAAGATTGCAATGATAGGGAAGTAAGTATCTGTTATTTTTCTTTGCAGGTAAAAAATGCTTAATTTATTGTTAATGTATACTTGATTTTTAAAATTATATTTTCTTTTCCTACAAAGAATGAATCATAATCATCTCCAAGTTGTAATGTATGTTTTCACTAACCCTTTCCGGCACGCTGCCTTTGGAGTTTTGATTTAAAAAAAAAAAAAAAAAAAAAGAAGGTAGGCAGTCTAATTAGGCCTAAAGGAATACACAAGTAAAATTTTGTGAAGCTAACACTTATCATTTAATTCTGTGGGTGTGGGCACACCCACAAAATTCAATCAGTGTGCCCAAAGTGGCCACACTGATTGAATCGAGCTTCACAAAGAGTGCTGAAATGAGCATTGTTGTGAATGAACTGACTGATGAGATGCGAGGAAACAAAGAATACAGACTCTCAGTTGTCCTAGATTATCGGTGAGCCTGGTCTGGGCACACCTTGGGGTCACCATTTGATTTTAGGCAAGATTTCAAGGTAAAAATTTAAAACTGATATGGAATGAGGAGATTGGTATACAGCCAAAAAAATAACATAGAACTTTCTTTTCAAACAATTTCTTTTATACCCTAAAAAATCTGGAAGATTTCTTTGGAAAATGAGGGTCTTAAAAAACTAAACATGGCTAAAATATATGGACTGGTTTGTGTTGTGCTGCCATCTACTATAAATAAAGAAGGTTCAGAGTAACCTATAAAATTCTTTTTCATTCAATTTTTCTGTGCGTACAGAAGGAAATTTTTCGGTGTGCCCAGACCGGACACACTGTGCCACAAAGGGTTAAAATGTAGATAGTTAGAGTATCTTAGTTAATATCTGTAGAAAGTAGCTGTTCAAAATTGTTTAAAATCTTAAACTTGTTGATATATTTTTTGTTTGTAATTCATGAGATGCCTTTTTATGTAATCTTCACTTCATAAATGTTTCATCATTGCCTAAAAGATCTAAATGTATGGTCCTGGCAGATGATTTCTGCATCAGATACTTTTTTAATTAGCTTTACAAGACTAGAAGAGAAACACGTTAATGTGACAATCAAAATCGTAAAAACAACCTTGTATTTAGCGTAAGTATATTGAAACAATCAGTCGATTTCGAGGGCAGCTAAAGGTCCCTCCTCATCAGGAGAAAGAAATACCTAGAAAGAAAAAAACTAAAGGGGAAAGAGTCTCAGAAACACGTGGTCCTTATCAGCACTGCACGTGGTTATAACCGGATTTTTAATCAGAGTTACACTGGCCGCCTACTTTTACTGAGCCAGGCTATCTGATCAAACATGTAACACAAAGGACAAAGAATTAGCGAAGTTAAAAATAGGGAGTGAGGGGTAACTGCACCTTCACGCTCAAAATCTTAACTTCGAATCATTCAAAGTTCAGATTTTGAGCTTCTTCGTAAGATATTCCGCTGATTTACATCCAACAAGTTCTTTTTTCTTCTGCCTCAAAAAAAAAAAAAAAAAAAAAAAAAAAAAAAAAAAAAAAAAAAAAACCCACTTTCTGCTCCCTCATTCTATAACACCAAATACCCAGTTTACCACTAGTCATTTTATACAGTGTAAAGCACAAAATAAGCACTTCCTAACCAACATCCAACACAGAAATTATCCTTATTTAATGGTCTCTCAACAATCAAGATCAGCACGATCACGCATTACAACCAATCATATCATGATAGAGTTTCTAAAACATACACCGTAAAATACTCAGGTTGCCTTGAATGAAACAAAAACAACCTGGTAATAATCCAAGTGGTACCTCAAAATATAGACTACCCCAGATTTTCAGATGCTGTAAACATTACTTATGTAACTCTCATACAATAATAAAATCCTTCTAAATCATGTTGCGACATCTTCAAACCTGAAAAATCAAAATATCCTGAAAATTTTGGTGGGAAAAAGAAGTCTTTTGTATGTCACACATTAAAATAAATTTTAAAAAAATCTGAATGCTTTCAGATCTTACATTGCGCCCAAATGAGCGGTGGTCTAATGCCCTTTAGGCTAAAAATTCTGTTTGTCTCGTAACTGTTGTGAGATTTCTTTCAAGCTCTCTTTGTGACAAGAAAAGTAATAGCTGACTAAATAGCACCTCTAGTAAAGCCATAGCTATTATATTCTAATAGTTTTGGTTATATGCTACATATTTTGATATTTATACGCTATAGTTTTGCTCTCAGTAATTGATTTTTTGACTTGATAAGATATTGTATGTTTTAGCAAGAACTAATCAGACAATGGTACTCATATGGAAGCTAATAATATCTATTAGCGGATATGAGACTGAAGAGCACATGCATTTCTGTTTAGTTATGTAGATGCCTCAAGTTTGGAAATACATGCAAAATCGAGTTTTTTCAAATCCTTAGCAGTTGTTCTAATTGAAGATTACTTAGTGCTGTGATGTGTGCTGAATGTGAGGATTCATTACATAGTAAGTTTTTACATAACTGTAAAATTGGCAGCTTCCTTCCTATACATTAGGTTCTGTTTTGTAGAATTAAGTATAATACAGTAGTACCTCGCGATACGATGGGTTCACGATACGATGTGTTCAAGATACGAAGTGGAATATCGCAAATATTCGTGCTCGCAAAACGATACATTTTTCGCGATGCGATCCCAATATCTCTTGCCGCTTGAAATTGTTTTGAAGTTGGCGCGCTACGGGCAAACCTCATGCGTCACTATTCAAGCTGTTCTGGTATTGGTCGACGTGGCGTCATCTTCCTTTCTCTATAAATCCTGTTCTCCTATTGGTCGGCATCGTAGGATACCGAGTCCACACAAAGCGTTGATGTGATATCGTTCTCTCCTTCTCGAGACCGTGTGGCGTTCATACAGTTCATACGATATTCTTGTGATTGTGTGATCGTAATATTATTTTGTGATAAACTTTATTCGCCTTGGGTCCTAAATGTGCTTCTAGTGCTGGTGGTGATAAGGGGAAAAGAAAGTCATCGATAACCATGGAAGTGAAGTTGGAAATTATAAAAAAATACGAAAGTGGCATGCGCATCATGGCTATTGCTAATGCATATGGATGAAACCAATCGACGATTAGTAACATTATAAAGAATAAAGAAGCCATTAAAGCCAGCAAGTCTGCAAAGGGCGTTACCACCTTCTCATACAATAGAACTGCCCTTAATGACAAGATGGAGACTCTTCTTCTTATTTTTATGAAAGAGAAGGAAATTGCTGGTGATACGATAACACAAGCTGCTATATGCCATAAAGCCACTGCAATCTTTGAAGACCTCGCAAAAGCCCAGAGAGGCGAAGGGACATCAACACAAGAGGCCCCAACGTTCAAAGCATCTCATGGGTGGTTTGAACGATTCAAGAAGAGATCGGGGATAAAAACGTGGTCAGGCATGGGGAAGCTGCCAGCGCCGATGAAAAAGCAGTGCAAGAATTTATCAAGGCCTTCAAAAAGTTAATCCTCGATGAAGGCTACATCCCTCAACAAGTCTTCAACTGTGATGAAACGGGGGCTTTTCTGGAAGAAAATGCCCCATCGTACATACATCACAGAAGAAGAAAAGAAACTTCCTGGACACAAACCCATGAAGGATAGGCTTACTCTTGCCCTATGTGCGAATGCCAGTGGGGATTTAAAAATAAAACCCCTACTGGTATACCACTCAGAAAATCCTCGTGCCTTCAAGGCACATAATGTGTCGAAGGATAAGCTCGTCGTCTTTTGGAGGTCCAGCCTGGGTCACGAGGCTTTTATTTGTTGAGTTAATTGCTGCTTCGGACCTGCAGTGAAAAAATATTTAGAGAAGAATGGTCTTCCTCTAAAATGCCTCCTTGTGCTCGACAATGCCCCTGCTCATCCTCCTGGCCTTGGAGAACAGATACATCCCGACTTCGACTTCATCAAAGTGCTCTATCTGCCACCGAACACCACTTCCAGCCTATGTACCAGCAAGTCATTGCTAATTTTAAGAAGCTTTACACGAAGCACCTTTTCAAACGATGCTTCGAAGTGACAGAGAGCATGCAACTCACACTCCGTGAGTTTTGGAATAGTCACTACAACATTGTCCATTGCTTAAAAATCATAGAAAAGGCATGGGGTGAGGTCTCAAGGCGCACCTTGAACTCAGCATGGAGGAAACTCTGGGCAGCTGTGGTTGCAGAACGAGACTTTGAGGGTTTCGAAATCCCTACTGAAGAAGAAGCTGTGGATGATCCTGCTCCATTGGAGGAATTATTTCTCTGTCAAAGTCTTTGTGGCTTGTTGTCGATGAGGCTGACATTGACAACCTACTCGACGAGCTCAAGGAGGAGCTCAACACTGATGACTTGAAGGTATTGGAGGCGATGCAAATCAGCGATCTTCAAGAGGAACATCATTCGAGTGTTAAGGAGGAGGTGGAGGTGGCACTGACATCTACGGAAATGCGGGAAGCCATCGGTTGGTTTGAAAACTTAAACAGTTTTATTGAAAAAAAGCACCCAGAAAAAATGCATACAGCTCGTGCAATGGACAATGTGAATGACATTTGTATGAGTCATTTTCGAAACATTTTGAGGAGTCGTCAGAAACAGGCTTCTTTAGATAGATATTTTTCGAAGAGAAGTGCCCCAGAAAGTGAGAGAAGCGAGTGTTTCTAGTAAGAAAACAGAAAGGAAAGTGAAGACGATGATGTATCACCTCAAATTTTTAGTTCAGTTAGTTAAAAAAAGAAAAAAAAAAAAAAAAATTACAAAAAAAAAATTATTGAAAAAAATTGATTTTAAGTGTTTCATTACTGTGTCTTAATTTTACATAAGAAAATTAATTTTAAAAAGAATTAATTTAATTTTAAGTTTTCATTACTGTGTCTCTAAGTTTTATAAACGCTGTGCGCAATTTATCAGTGTCGTAATAAAAACTATCCCCTTCGCTGACTGTACAGTACTTTTGGTAAGTGAAATTAATTTTTTTTTTATTTTTATTTTTTTATATTAGGTTATTTTAATTTATAAATGTGGTATAAAGTTTATTGTGTGTTGTATGTGGTACTTAATATACTATTTTGTGACTAATTATTATTACGTATAGACGATTTTGGTGTTTATATATGGGGCATTGCACGAAATAATTAAATTACATAAGATTACATTGTTCATTATACGATTTTTTTAAGATACGATCCTGGTCCAGGAACGGATTAAAATCGTATCGCGAGGTACCACTGTATCTGTACTCTGCTAATCATGCATTTATATCATTCAGCCTGTTTTCATAAAGCCTGAAAACCATACGTAATTATATTCTTCTATCTATGAACTTGATTGTCACGGTTTATATAAATATTTCGGTTTATATAAATAGAGATATACTTTGTTAATATGTGAAATAAATTTTTCAATGGCTGATGCATAATTTACTATCTGGTAAGTTATTAGCATGTTAATAAAGAATAATTCAATCCAGCACAGCATTTTGTTGTTTATGAGATGGCCACCCATAAGTTATAATGTTTAGTGATGCTGATTGCCATACCAAAGAGTCTGAGTTCAAATCTCAGAGAAGGTATATATGTTTGTAAGCATATACTGTTTGTTTGAAAAGGGGACAATCAAAATACATGGTGAGCCAAAATCCTCTTCAGAGGTTAAGAAAGATTAGAAAGCCTGAGACTGCAGCCTAGAGTGTTCTGCCCTGGAATTCCACCCAGAGCAGAACTTTAGTAGTTAGCAAGGCCTGGCGATACATAATATGCCTGTTTGGATGCACAGGTGTTGCCTTTGCTTCATCCTGTGCCTGTTTATGAAAGAAAAAATTGTGAAATATTGTATGTCTTAATATGAATGCTTATTGAGGAACTTATTTATTAAATGTTACTTCTTTTTCAGAGGTTTGAAAAAGTTTGCAAATATATCATAGCAAGTGTAGATAGTGATTCCTTAAAGGTAAAGTGTTGTACGTAATGTTTTAACATAAAAGTTTTTGTGTCCACTCTACTGTTTTAAATGTTTACAGTGCAGTTCTGAAATAGATAATAAAATTAAAATTGTGCATATTATGCATATCTGTATATTTTTTTTATTTTTGTGCTGTAGTTAAATTGTATTTTAGTATTTGTAGAATTTATAGCACTGAAGTATTTGTATTATTTATATTCTACAAATTTAAACTGAATTAAATGTAGTAATATATATATAATGTTTTTAAGATTTTTTTTTAAATCTAAATATTACAAAAAAAATAGATACTTTCTGTACAACTTTGAAAAGTTGCCAACTTTATGAATTGGCAGAAACATTTGTTTGGTTATCTTTACAGCTGATACACACACTGGCCAATGAATTAAAAATCAATATTTTATTGGACTGCCTTTTGGCATCGATAAATGCTCTGATTCATTTGGGAAATGAGTTTACATGCTTCTGGAGTGCATTTATGTCCAGAGAACACCATGCATTTGTTATGAGCTTTTCTTGTAAATTAAATCGAAGAGGAGAGTGCTGTCAGTTGTGTCTTTCTACCATATCCCACACATTTTCTTTAGGATTAAGATCTGGGCTGTACAGTGGCCAGGGAAGGTGTTGGAAGTCAGACTGGCACAATGTATAGTTTCATTATTGTCCATGAAGTATCCATTGCCATCAGGGTAAAAATGGAATATTGCAGGGTGCACTTGATCTGCCAGTATATTTAGGCATCTCATGGCTATATGTTTACCCTTGAGGAACACCAGGGCACCACTTCCATGCCAGCAGAACATGTCCCATATCATGATACTCCCACCAGACCCTTGCGCAGTGTGAGTAAGGCAAGATGGATTCATGGCTTCATGGGGTTCTTGCCAAATTCAATGTCTTCCATCATTGCAAAATTAAGGTATAACGTGATTTGTCCAATCACATTACCTATTTCCTATCCTCATATGTACAGTGTCTTCTCAACCAACACCACTGCAAACAAATTCTTGCATGTTGAGCAGAAATGAATGGTTTTCTCACAGGCACCAACTATGCATTCCTATCCTCTGTAATTCTCTGTGCATGATTCAAGTTGATATCTGTTGGGAAGTGCCTTGGTTGATGATTTGTGTTGGTTGAAGCACGTTAGAGTCCCTGTTCTGCTGTACAATGCGTCGGAGATGATGCTGACCATTGTGTTGGAAAACTGTGCTCTAACCACAGTTATGTCATCTAGAGAAGGAGTGTGGGTTCTGATTCCAGCTTTTGAAAACCTTTGATATGGCTGCTTCTAAGAACCAAGTGAGATTTTCCAGCTTTGAAATCGAGACTCCTGCTAAATAAATGGGCACCTATAAAAAGCCTTTTTGAAATGATGAAAGATCTGCCGTTTTTTCCATTTTACTTCATTCATCATGAAAAGCACTCTTACACCTTACTTATACTAGCATTTTAACCACATGTAACCTACGTCATAAAAAAAAATTGCAGACTTCATCCCTAGCACACATTCAAATGAAAATCTGAAATGTTTTTTATTCATTGGCCAGTGTGTGTAGATACTGCTCTATTTGGCTACCTTAGGCTATCTTTACAGCATCATATGTACTGTTCTGTTCACAAATAAAAATTTTAAAAAATATTTTATTAACCCTTTGGTCCCATTATGATTCATTTTGACAAAAAAGGCAAAAGAAAACTATGAAAGATCAAGGGGACTCTGTTTAGCAGAATGATGATTAAAAACAAAATATGTAAATCCATGTGTACTTGAACACATGTTAGGTGCATGCGTGCTTGGTATTGTCATATTTACTCAAAAATATGATTATTCCAACAGATGAAATTAGGGGTTTGGGATCTTCAGAAAGTACCAAAAAATTTTAAGATAAATTTCAGTTCGTGTTAGAATAGTGAAATGTTTCTTGAATTAAATTCTGTCATTATTATATTTTTTAAGTTTGCTTTGCTTTGCTTTACAGAAAAGCTACATTTCAGTAGCTTTCAATAAAGAACTTGCTGTAGCCTGGATACATCACCTGAAAACATTATTATGGCAGTGTTGTTTGTATTTGAAAACTCTGAAGGTAAATGTCAAAATAAAAGACTCCTAATTAATATGTAATTATTAATTATAAGTAATGTGTTTTACGTAATAATTTAATCCAAGAATTGTTATTGTTAATGACTATTTAATTTTATTAATAGAAAGTTATAATTGTAATGATCTTTTAAGAAGTATAAGATTCATTTTCTTTATAATTAAAAAAAATATATTTTATGTATTTATTTCTTTCAGTTATTCACATAGAATCAAAAATGTAAAATCTTGTAGATTTCTGTAGACATGCATTCATACTGGTATATAAGACTTTATTATACCTGTATCTGTAAAAGTACAATTTGTAAAAACTAAAATCTTGAAATAAAATTTATAGCATATAATAATTAATTATGCAGCAAAATAATGAATAGTTTCTTTGAATTTATCAGTATTTTTTTTTTTTTTCTGTTTATACACAAGTGTGTTCTACATTTGAGCTACTGTATGTCATTATTATGTCTTATGTCAAACTGTGGTATTAAGTCTGTTGATTCGAAAAGTGTCTCATAGAGCTGCAAAATGTTTTAGAAAGAAACCTGGTATGCTAGTGAGCCTGGACTGCTTAATTTAATTCTGATTTCCTGCTAAAGCATCTAAACTGTATTAGGTTTTATGTAGTAGTCTAATATTTCAGGTTGTTTAAATAGCTTCTCAACCATAAATTCAGAATTTGGGAAATTATTGGCTTGGAATTTTGGTATTTATTATTATGGATTCCATTTTTTAAACTGAAAGTTTGTGCCAGGATTATTCTCAAGATCATGTTTACTTCTCATGTACACTTTGTGGATGTTTCCACAATGCTTTTAATATGGCACTGAGACATTTTCTTGTTTGAAAGACTTTCTCTACGTGAACCCCGACTGTCTATTGGAAAGTTCAAAAAAGGAAATAGTTAACATTTGGTTTATTTAGAGCTCTTCATGTCATGAGCAAACTACAAAGAGTCCTCATTAGAACTCTTGTCATCATTCAGGCTTTATTTCAATTTATATTCTTGTATTGGTTCTGCTGTATGACTTATTCTTAGAAAATTAAGATTTAAAATTAGTTCTTCAGTATTGTTAATTGCATATTTGATTGAACTTATTTACTGCATGTATGAAATATTTTAGTTTTAATTATTATTAATTTAATTAACCTGAAGTGTCTTTTGGAAGTAAAATCGTACTTAATTACTATTACCAAGAAAGCTTTTGCATATGTAGATAATGTATAAATAAATAAATTTGGTGTAATTATACCATTTCAAATGCTTTTTTATCTGGAAGAATGTTTTATAATTTTAAATAGTATCAAATATTATTAGTTTTCAAACATTAATGCTTTTCATGTAACTGAAAATATCTTAAAATGTATTTGAATACAGATCCATTTAATTAAGGAACTTTAAAATATTATTCATATTTTTCTTTTAGTTCAGAATTATTTTTTTTTTGAAAATTGAAAAATCTCTTTTTGTGTCCTGTAAATTTTTTTCTATTATAAATTCATAAATAGCTTGAATTAAAAGTGTCACATATGTTTCATTATTCAATGTAAAGTTATGCTTTTTTTCCTGTTATTAAAGCCTGAGTGGCCTCAGGATATAAAATCTCTGATGTTGTTTCTGCATATGCTAGTTTCATTTACAAGTACAGGGACGTGGAAAGTTTTACATAGCAAGCAAGGTAATATCCCTTTAAAAGGCATATTTAAAACTTTTTTTGTTTGTTCAATTTTATTTTTCTAAAATTTGATGTATGTCTTGTTCAAATAGTTATATGTGTAATTTATTGTAATTTAAATATCTTTTGACTTCAGGAGAAGCCTTGAAACCTGCAATGCATCAGCTGTGTGCTAATATCATGGGTCATTTAGTAACAAAAGGTCTTTATTCGATTTTACAAGCAATTTTATTAAAAGGTTTGGTTCGTGTAAAACCTTGCTTGAAAAGAGCTACTCTTCTTGCCATCACAAATTTGTCAATACGGTAAAAATATATTATTTTGCTTGTTTTAAATTCCAAACCTTTTTATTTAACTATTTTTATGTTTTTAAGTCAGATTTCTAAAATTTTATTAGCATCTCAAACTTCTAAAAAAGGATTAAAAATTGTGACATTTTTATTTATTGTGAAATTATTATTTAGGAAGGATTAAAATTAATAAAAGCTTTAGTATATTTTATGGCCATCATTATGTTTATATCAATGACCTTGAAACAGATGTTAATCTGATCCCTTTCAATGACATTTTTTCTTGGGGCAAAAAAAAAAAAAAAATATATTGCCAAAAACCATCCTCACTCTGAAATTTGTTCATCAAAAGTGGAAAAAATATGTTAAAAAAGTAGATCAGATTAATATTCAAAAGAGTAGAGAAATAAGATTAGTTATGAAATTAGTCTTATTTCCCTATGACTATATAAACATAATATGAATTTTGGTCACCAGACACACACAGAAAGGGCATAAAATCGTTTTCTTTATTAAATATGAAATCATCTTGGTTAGAAATAAAGCACCTTGATTAACTGCATGATGTCAAAAATTTAATCATGGATCAGACACACAAAAATGTCGTAAAATAATGTTCTGTTTTAAATGTGATTGCGTCTTTATTTGCAGTAGAGCATATTGGGGAATTAAGTTTTATGTACATGTATGGTATGTTTACATACCTATGTTTTTTAAGTTTAAATCCTTACTTTTTTATTTTAAAATTTAAAATATGCTTATATTTAATATATTTACATGTTGGATGAAATTCCAAAGACTAGAACGATGTGGGCTGAGACTACATGTGAGAAAAAGAGAAACAGTATTATGAAAAATTCTCTAAGCGGAAAAAGTTATTTTACTACATCTGTTTCAGGATCTTTTATTGCAACATTCATTGAAAGATAGAGGAGGACACTTTGCAAATTATAAACATTGTTAATTAATTATTAGTTAAGGATAACAATTTATGACAGCATTTTCATGCAAAGAATTTTTTAATTTAACTATTTCCTGAATCAGAATAACTTTTGCTTACATGTTGAATGCAGATTGCTGTAAAAAAGGTTTTTTGTTTTGTTTTGTTCAAGAAATTTTTTCCAGTGCACAGGAAATGCATACATTCCTGTGGAAAAAAATTCTAGTGGTCATGTGCGCACTCATTCACACACTGCCTGGTGCACCTCTTCATTAAAATAATATTTCTTTGTTCCCGTCCTCCCTTTGAGTGATCATCCAAATATGTGGTAATCCCTTGGGGCGAGGTCTGGTGAGTATGGCAGATGTGGAATAGTATCACAGTAATGGTTGCAACTACTATCTGCCACATAAATCATGCCATTCCTGAATTTCGTATTCCACTTGTACATTTGCTGCTGTGATAAACATGCCCTACCATACTAGACTTTCCTTCATCAATGGGTTTCAATAGGTTTCAAAACTTCATTGCTCAGAAAACGTATGATGATTCATTGGTACATGTCACAAATGAGGCAGCCATTTTAAACTGATATTATGGCAGCATTTACCTTGTCTGCAGTATGCCGCCACCTGATAAACATTCTTTAAAGCACTGTTAACTGTACTGCCAACTTACAGAGCAATGGCATGGGAAATTGAATGTTTATTATGTTTTTAAAGTTTTTGTTTGACTTCCCTGTGTAGTGTTACATCATCTTTGCAATAAATTTTATTTTGCATTATAAATTGTAACATATATGATAAATTTCTGCATTATTCAATTGATGCATACTTTATTATAAAATATATATGTACATCACATACTTCAGATGCATTTTTAAGCTCAGGAAAACCACTTATATTTTATAAAAGCATTAAATAAATCTTCTATAAGTATGTTATAATGTTATTATGGTAGGGCATGTTTATCACTGCAGCATGTGTACAAGTGGAATACGAAATTCAGGAATGGCATGATTAACCGCTTCCCTTACACAGTTTTTTGAAAAAAATTGCAAAAAAACATCACATTTTTTTATTTTATTATTAAGTACAAGGAAACAAAACAAAACAAAATATGTAGGTTTTAAGTTGAATTTTTAATATTTTACAGGTGTTAAAGCATTTAGTTTTAATATTAGTTTACTATCCCGAGTTATCTCGGGCAAATGGACAAAAGTTAAATATTAGTCTTTGTATGATAGTTTTTGAAACAAGGGACAACACAAAGTGATACCTGACATTCTCTACACTGGTATCTGGTCTCTTTTCTTACTGACTTACCTCTGGAATCTCTTTTACGGGAGCACAGAGTACACTGTCTCGTTGGATTTGATTTTTTTTTTTTTTTTTTTTTTTCAGTAGCAGGAATAACATCTGGAAGATGCCTTGAGATTAACCTGAGTGGTGAAGGACTAATGCTGGGTCTTCCTGATGTGGCAGAAAACTCGTCACGATGATTTTCTGAAATTAGTGTTTCAATCACTTCCATTTTAAATTGTTTAGGTGATCGTGAACCTCCTGCTTTACAGTACAAGATGTAGGAATTCCATAAGGCCAAATCCAATAAATGGAAGAAAATCTTCTTATAATACTTTTTCCCTCTTTTTCTGGGTGTAGAATAAGCAGCTAAATGCTGGTCGACTTTATCTACACCCTCCATTTTGTCATTGTAGTCAACTACACATTTAGGCCTGGAATTTGTCTCTCCCTGTTTATTTGTCACATCCTGCATTTCGATCGTATGTATTGTGGAAATTAGACTAACATCCTTCTTATCTTTCCATTTCATTACAGTTACTTTCCCTCTTTGATACCCAATAATTTCTCCTTTTTTCAATTTTTTTGTCTTGAGATCTCGGGGTAAATCTTTTCTATTCAATTGACGTGTTCCACACACATCAGTCTTCCTTTTGACTAACGTATCAGCCAAACCTGGTGAGTTATAAAAATTGTCCATGGTAAGGCAATATCCTTTGTCCAGCAGTGGTTTTGTAAGAGTCGTCACAACTCGGGCTGACATAGGAAAATCATCGAATGAATTATCAAAATTAGTTCCCTTCCCACTGTATGTCATGGCATTCCACACGTACCCACTCTTAGATTCGCATAGTAAGAAACTCTTGATTCCAAATCGCGCTCTCTTCAAAGGGATGTACTGTACCCACTCGAGTCTTCCTTTATAAAGAAGTAAACTTTCATCTATTGTTATGTCTCCTTCAGGTATAATCGCACTCTGAAACTTCTCAAGTAAATGTTGCAGAATTGGCCATATCTTATTTAGCTTTGGACAAGGATGTGTACTTGCATCATATGCATCATTGTTGCTGAAGTGCAAGTTTTGCTTTATCTGACAAAATCGTCTGTATGACATTCCACAACTGATTATTACTCCAATAATCTTGCAGATCTGGTTTTTTTAATAACACCTTGGAGAATATATATTCCCAAAAAAACTCTTACTTCATTTTGAGAAGTAGAACACCATGGTTTTGAATGCAGTCTACGAGCATGCTCTTCTGCATATCGATTTGTTTCAATTGTAATAATGTCAATCAATTCATTATCAAAATATTTATAGAAAAATTCCAAAACATTATGGATATCAATATTGAACTTCATACCTGCGTTGGCAGTAAAAGCAAAATGACCAGGTGCGGGTGGCAAGTTCGTTTTTTCAATTGTACACCATTGACGAACTGCCGGCAAATAGTCTGAATCCGAATCACTTGAACTGTCATCTTCAATAAGACTACATTCAGAAGAATCACTTCCACTATTTTCTATGTCCACCTCTTCATTATCACTATCTGAAAAATCATCGCTGTCGCTATCTTTCATCATCGCAATTATTTTGCTTTTTTTTAACTTTGTACATTACTAACCCACAAGCCATCATATACTATACAATAGGGAAACTCGTGACCAATCTCGCCAAAAGAACCGCGAAATAAACAAAACTTGGCAAACTGCCAGTTAAAGCTGAATATTTCCTTTCGTTTCCTCCAAGCCATACGTTTAAAAAAAAGAAACCTACAACTAGAAGTATATGTCTTTCCTCATGCACTGGTCAGTATAGATAATAAAGGCAATGCAATTTACAGTACAAGCAGCACAGTTTACAGTACAGGCCATGATAAAACAAATAAAACCATGATATAACAAATCTTACTGACAAATTCTGCTTCACCCGAGGTTTTCTCGGGATAATAATTAGCTGCAATATATACGATTTCAAGATAACTCGGGATAATCAGGCAAGCAGTTAAGAACTTGATAGAGTAAACTTTATAAACTAGAGCTATGGTTCTAAATGTAAAGTATTAGATAAAACTTTTAAGTTTAGATAAAACTTTTAGGTATATGCCATGAGTTCAAAAATGGCAGAAAATAAACAGGTGCAAGCTTGTTGATTTCCTTGTAAAATTTATACAGTTTTTATCACTTTTTTGTGTTTATGGATATTAGTAATTTATAAATGCAAAATTTAATGTGTATGTATATATGTTTTATTTTGTAATAATTGCTTATATGGTATGTTAAAAAGGTGGCTATGGTCTTTATTTACTTAACCTGTTAAGCACTATCATCCTGCGTTGGCACTTGCCGTAAAACTTACACATTTCCAGATCATAGACAAGTGCAATGAAACTTTAATGGCAACAAAGAGTATTGCCTGTACTGTAAACTGTGCTGCTTGTACTGTAAATTGCATTGCCTTTATTATCTATACTGACCAGTGCATGAGGAAAGACATATACTTCTAGTTGTAGGTTTCTTTTTTTTAAACGTTTTACATATTTTTCATGAAAATAATTTCAGTATTGAGGATAGGAGATTTCTTTAAAGATAAAATCTAATTATTGTGCTTTCTGGTTATCCACACTCCCATGAAAAGTCAGCAACTCCTTAACAACTTTGTGAACTGGCAAAGAACATTTGTATGGCTGTTTTTACGGCTCATAGGTACTGTTCTGTTCATGTATAGTATAAAAAAGAAGCATTTTATAAGAAACAACAAGAAATTTTTATGGAAAAGAAAAGTCGGTATAGTCAATATTTACAGTTTTACAACTAATGTGTACTAGTGAGCAAAATGACCATTAAATGTAAACATGTGAATATGCATGTACTCAAATGTATGTGCTGTATGCACGTGCATGGATTATTTATAGTCATATGTATACTTGAAAATACACCAAAAATGGGCAATTCTACTGAAAATTAAAGCTGGGAGTTTGGATAATCGGAAAGGAGCTCAATTTTTAGCGCTTTTAGAAAAAAAATTTCAGTCAGAAAAAAAGTTTTAATTAATTTACAGCAAAAAGTCTTATATTTATCTTTCAAAATTTTTGGTACTTTGATTATCCATCCAACCCTCCTGGAAAGTTGCCGTCATGATCAAGTAATTTTTCACCAACCTAAGACACAAAAAACAGCAGCTATTTTTCAAAAATAGTGTCATACTAAGAATTATATTAAACAGCAATGACCTAGCAAAATTAAAGTTATGAAAAATATCCACAATATAATGCTTACTTGTCCATGTACACAGATATACACGTGTCTGTTTTAGATTAAAAAACACCATAGAATTGCACAAACTGAAAAAAAATCAATTGTTTATGAAATGCAATTTCATGGAATCTGAATTTTTGCATTCTGTGCTATTAGGCAAAATGCCATATTTTGGAAGAAATCCAGTGCTTTATTTTCTATAGCCAGCAAACTCCACAGTTCCATTATAATTCCTTGAAAGAAAAAAAAAAAGGTCAAACTCGTCAGTTGTTTATCAGAAGTAGTACTAACCAGAAAAACTACCATCAAATTTGAAAAACTGAAATCTGCATTAGTGTGCGTGTAATTGGGTTGCCTATCATGGCAATATCGTGTGTTGCGTGGTGAATTCTTTTCAAGATTAGGCAGCTAATCAGAAAGTATAAATTTTTCTAATAAGTATTTTTAGGTGAGATGTACGTCATTTAATAACAAATACTATTTGACCTATGATGAACAATTAATTCCTCAAAAAAAACAGCTTTTATGTATCTTTGTTGCTTTGCTTACATAAAGGTATTTTATATCAATACCAGACTTGCAGAAGTGATCTAAGTCAGTGTTTTCTTTCTGGTATTTGCTTGCTTAGATCATTTCTCCTTGAATTTTGTATATAGCAATATAGAATGTTTTGTTTATATTAAAAGCGTAATAAATATTTTCCTATTAGGAGCTTTTCTTGTATGGAATTATACAAAAAAAATTATTTTTAAAAAATCCTTTCCCTTGGAATGTTGGAATTCTGTCTGTTGTTTTAAAAAACATTAAAGCTAGAAGTACATGTCTAGAATCAATATATCAAAAATAGAAACATAACCACCTTTTGCAAACATTATGTTTATGTAGAGAAATAAAGTTAGCTCTTTTCCATTTGTGTGCTGAGAACTTTTTATTATGATTAAAAATTGTTACAAATGAAATATTTTCTTTTTCAGTCCTGTAGTGTCTTCGCAATATACAAATAATTTGATGAACTTGTTTCTTCTTCATATAATGTCTGTGCCAGCACTTATTCTGCATTTTCATAATTCTGCTCCTGAGGTATATTATTTTCTTTTGTGTGTTTTAATTAAAGCCCCATAGAAACTTGATAAGATTTTTGCAAACATGACATATCTAATTTTAAAAATTGTTAATTGTAATTCATTAACTCTGTGCATGTGGATTTTATTCATTCTTGAAAATACAGGATGATTTATGTGTCTTCATTTGTTACTACTGATTGCATGGAACATTAATTGTGATGTTTAAGATTTTTTTAAATAAATGTGGAACTTAAGACTTTATATGTGTTGCACCGAATAAAGCTGTGGAAACTATAAAATTCATATTTAAAGAGCATATTTTTTATTAATTTTAATTTGTTTGTAAAATTTTGTGAATTACATGTAAAAAATTTTGAGAAAAAGATAATTATTATAAAAATTAATCTGTGTTTGCAGATTAGGGTTTTAATTTTATTTTTTTTATATTTAATAAATGTTTATCTGTTTCTTATAAGCATGGCTATTTCTTATTGTAATTCCAAGGAATAAAAATGTAGTACACATTAAAAAAGTGAAATTCGTTATTAAATAGGAATACAACATACATTAAGTTAGAAATTTATATGTAAACATATGATATGAGAAAAACTATTATAAAAATAGTAAACATGTGTGTGGGTTTGATTTTTGATTGTATTACATCTGATCATTTGAACTTAGTTTATAATATAGAGTCAAAAGTCGTTAATCCGGACTCGTCGGGACTTCGGCGATTCCGGATTATCGATTTTTCCGGATTATAGATCATCAGTTTAAATCTCGAAAGATGGCATGCAGAAATTCTAAAATTAAAAATATGAAACCGTAATTTATGAAATAAAGAACATTTATGATCTAAAGGGTATCAAAATTTGCAAAAAGAAAAAGCTTAATATTTATTTGTTTACTTTATTAAACATTTCTTTCAATGTAAGTTGTTTAAGTTTTGCTTCGTTTCATGTGATAATACTTTCTCTTTAATTCTATTAAACAGACATAATTTCTTGTTCAGTTACAAAGTTCCGCTGTTCAAGTCCTATAATTGCTGTGTCGAGAACACCGACTAATTTGTCTATCGAAATTTTTTCGTTTTCAATAACCTCTGTCACTTTCTTCGCTATCCGAAGCGAATTATAATGACGAGGAACTTGTTTTAAATCATATCAAAGACAGGGCATATCGAGATGAAATACTACATTTGGTAAGGAACTGTAAGCCAAATAAAATAAAAACATCTGCGCTGAAGATAAGGATAGTGCTGACAGATCAACTTCCAATTCATTACGCGCCTGCCACGGCGTCCCTCCCCCCCCCCCGCCAAGCAGTGTGAAATTGATAAACAGATTTCGGATTTCAAAACATACTTTCGCTTTAGATCCTTTACATATTAACAAATATATATCGGAAATTCTATTTGATATAATCGAAAGTTTAAGCTTACTTTTATAAAATTGCTCTTACAGTCTACAAAAAATAATAAGCCGGATCCAATTCGAAAATTAAGGAACAACGCAATCATCAACATTAACTGAAATAGATAATTAGATAATTTTAGCTTATACATCCATTATACATAAAACGTGCACGGGAAAACGTATTCTGCACTTGCGCACACTCATATGCGCAGTCGTAAAAGGTCTTACGCGCACGCATAAACGCCTATGCGCATGTGTCAACACGGCGCATGCGCAGAAAGTTTTTAGTTTTGAGGTCCGGATTATAGATCATTCCGAATTATGGGTGTCCGAATTAACGACTTTTGACTGTAGTAACTTTTTCACTACTGTGTAATGAAAATAAATGCATGTGTTTTATATGAATCATATGCAAAAAGTATTTTAAAATGTTTATTGAAATAGAAAAATTTCCAATACTCTATTTTAGCATCTTCATATAGTTCTTCATATATGTTATTACAGATTTATAATTATTTTTAATGATATTTATAATCAGTCTTCCTCCTATCATCTGCAAATATTGTAAGATCATTCATCAGTATGTGAGTAGATACATTAAATGATTTATTTCAAATAAAATTGTTAGTTCTTATACAAGGGGTGATCAAATGAAAAGGTACGAAACAACACGGTGGGTACAAATGTACACTTTATTCAAAATATACACCATAGGCCTAAGCACAATGATCCCCCTGATGAACAAGCTGCAGGATTTCTTGTTCCCAGAATTCCTGTGGCAGTGACGAGACCCAGTACTTCACAGCGTCCTTGAGTACGTCGACGGAGTTGAAGCACATCTCTTTCAGGTGTTTCTTCAGTGGACCAAACACATGGAAATCACAGAGCGACATGTCCGAACTGTAGGGCGGATGGTCCAACGTCTCCCATTTGAACTTGTCCAGTTCCATGTGTGTAACTCTGGAGACATGTGGACGCGCGTTATCATGGACCAGAACCACACCCTCCGTGAGCAGCCCCGGTCTTTTGTTCTTGATGGATCTGCGTAGGCGTCAGAGTGTCTCACAGTACACATCAGAATTAATGGTTTTTCTGTGCTCCGGGAATTCCACAAGTAACGGACCTTGAACGTCAAAAAAGATGGTGAGCAACACCTGCCTGCCGACAGCACGGCTTTGAACTTCTTAGGGAAAGGTGACGATGCATGCTTTCACTGCATGCTGTCCCACTTTGTCTCTCGCTCATAGTGACGGCACCAGGTCTCATCATCTGTGACAATTTGTCCCATGAAAGTGGGGTCTTCCTGATACCGAAATAGATGTTTATGCAGTTCCTTTTGCTGGTCGGTGAGCTGCTTCGGAACCCAAGCAGCACAAACCTTCCGATATCGCAACCTGTCGTGAACAATTGTCCACACAGTTCCATAGCTGACATCCACCTTCACCGCCAACATTCGCAGTGTGACACACCGATCACTTCTCACTAGGTCGTCCACCTCGTCGATGAGATCGCTCGTGATGACAGTGTTTGCCTGGCCTAGTATCGGGTCATCACCCACACTTTCACAGCCTGCACGAAAACAGGCACTCCATTTTCTGACAGACTTGCCAGAGGCGCATTTCTCCCCGTAAACTGTCGCCATCCGGCGATGAATAGCTGCCGGTTTCTCACCTTCCACTGTCAGAATTCGGATAACACCTCGCTGCTCCTCTGTCATCGAATTTTGCAATGCAAACGTCATCCTGTCCTCATACGGACAGCCGCATCATTTGTACGCTGCTTGTGATAAGAACCTCTGCTCTCTCCTGCGCAGACGGCGCCCGTGCATGCTCCGATCCCAGTCAGAGACTCCAATCGCATCCCGAGATGTCTCGCTTCATGGCAGAATATGCAAATATTTAACAGTTACGTTTTTACGTCATTTCGTACCTTTTCATTTGATCACCCCTTGTAAGAATAATTGCTGCAGTTCTCAGTTTTCAAGAGTATTTAACTAATAGCTATATGTAGTAAGGTCAGAAAATGTGAATAGCTGTGTCCTTCAATGTCATAACAGGGTTCGTACAGTCCTTAAGAGTCCTTAAAAGTACTTAAATTTTTTGGAATCGATTTTTGGTCCTTAAAAGTCCTTAATTTTGGCCAAAATCAGTAGAAGGTCCTTAATTTTAATCATCTGAAATTTCTGTCTGTTTTTACGACTGCCATTTTGAGTGTGAATTAGCATTTTGGAGGAACATTTTTGGCGATTCACTGACGTATATGGTTATCTTTTGAATGGGTTCATGGGTTATAATTTGTTTCTATTTTTAATATAAATGACGGGATACTCGAGTTTCTAAGCAAGAAGTGAAACATAAGCATTTCGAAATTCATTTATTGTAACAAAGAGCTCTTAAACAATTTTCACTTTTGGGAAATGTGAATTCTTTTATTAAACGGTTCTAAATTTGGCAACTTGTCAACATTTTGGCGATTTTCAGACCAGTTTCCATAGAAAATTTTTAATTCTGAAATCAGAATTTTTCGACGATTTTTTTAAAAAACATTATAACTTTGATAAATAACATTAAAATAAAACTATTTTATTTTCTGCTGTTATATTATAAAGTTTTATTTTGGCAACTTATTATACAATATTTTGAATCTGAAAAATAACAAGGTATAATGCTATAAAGCACAATTTACGAAACAGCTGTTAGCAAAAGCAAAACTCTATGTAATTAATTAAAAATATCTTCTTTTTAATTTTTTCATAGTAAGCGTTTTTCCCATGTAATTGTCTCAGAATATTCAAAATTTTCAGAATATGCATCAGTTTCATCTATAAAAGTATTTTTAATTTTACACTTTTTCCTCCTTTTTTTTTTTTTTTTTTTTTTTTTTTTTTTCCCCAAAATATTTCTGTCTTTTTGATGTTACAGAATTGGTTGGGATAATTTTTCTTTAGTATTTTTGACATTGCAACTTGGAAAATTTAGAAGGATTTGAAAGCAAGATTTATAGACCCACGATTCTAGAAGATTAAAGAAATATGTGACAAAGTGAAAAATGTCTTCATGGTATCAACGCGTAATGGATGTATTTTACAGAATGTTTGCGATGAATTTCTTACTTTTTGGAGAACGTCTGGAAGAACAATGAAGACATGAATAATATTTGAGTGTTTTATTCCTGATACTAGAATCTTTTTCTTAACATGTTTATCTTCCCTTTATTTTCTCTACTTTTCACTAGACACAAGCATGGAAAATATCAAAAATGCTTCTAATCGTATCACTTGGGCAGGCATTATAGAAAGGGATTTTTTTATTAATACAAAAATTGAAAACTTAACAATTTCAAAGATCCATCTAATATGTTTTAATGCATCATACACAGAGCTATGCATCATACACATTTTCCCATTTGATGCCAATCTCTGTGGATCCTAAATTCGACTGTGCCGTCCTATTATGCTGCCTAGTGCTCTAAATTCTGTGCTTCCAATGCCTGTCTAAATTGTCTAAAAGTTTTGCCATTTCTAGATTTTGTTGTTTGGTGTGTCACTAAATTCTAAAAATTCTGCCACATCAGCTCTGTAATCGGCCTTTACCATATATATATTTCATATTTCTTCTGAATTCCATATTACTAAAGAAATTAAATTATTCACTTTTTCTATACATTCTAAATGCATTTAGTGATTTTATAAAAACAGAAATCCTTAATTAAATCCAAAAATTCTAAAATGAAAAAGAAACATGCTAAAGAAAGAAACTGAATACATGAAAGAAAATTCTTCTTCAAAGATACGTGCAGTTATTATTTGTAAATTACACAATTGTTTATGATTTCAACCCTTACTATAATTTTCTATTTCTATTTCCTCATATGATAGGGTTACTGAGCCAGATTAAATTAAATTGTATAATCTTTGACCACTAATCCACATTTTTAGTTTGAATTTGACTGTTCTTGTTTAATTACGTCACTGTGATTGACTTTGTTAGCATCAGAACATGCCTTTATGTTTGTTCTAAGTTCTTTTTAAATAAGAGGCTTATTTAAACCTTTGTCTGATATTGTAGTTACTTTCAGACATAGTGATAATTTGCTTCACGTCTATCGGGGCTTTTGGACTATTTAACTTTTACCAGATCAAGTAAACCCTCATAGGTACATTGTGGAGAGGTTGACAAATTAGGAGATAAAGCATGCAGAAACTAGCAAGAGCATTGGTTTGCATATTGAGACAAATCTCTAATTATTGTTAGAAAATATGCTTAAAGAGAAGGAAATCAGTATAAACTAGCCAAAATGTTTGGGAAGGCTTCAAATTAAAATGACTGATAAATATTTTGTTGAGTGTTGTTGTTAAAAAGCATAAATGTTTTGTAGCTTTCAATGTGTAATTATTCTAATATCGTTTAAGAATCAGTGTCATAAATAACATGTATTTTCAACTGTGAAATTTTATTAGATTTTGATTTTAATAGGGCTTTTTTAACAAATATTGTTAAAAAATAAAATTAATAGTGGTCATGTAAATCCATGACTAAGGTTTTACCTATTTACCTAATTTAATTATTTATAACTAAGTGCTTACCCTTAAAAATTATCTCTATATATTAAAGCGAGTTATTGCCTATCATTAATACTCACTGTGGTCACAAGATAAAACACAAAAATGTAGAAATTCAAGTAAAGCTTATTCTTTGCATCTAGTGAGACTTAAAATAATACAAAACAACTTATCACCTCTGGTGCTTTAATGGCTTATTGGAACCTGAAAGTATATTAACTGGGTTACAACCCCTGGAACTCTACATGAAGCTATGACACTAACTGCATCAGAGCCTGACTAACTTTCAACACTTGCCAACCATGCCTACATCATGCCTTTCAGATTTGTTCTAATCAGCAGGTCTCTCTCTAGACAAGCAGCAGCGGTGATAACATTCAGTCTTTTATTATGAAGAATGCTGATTATGATATTTCTCATTTTAACCTATGCCGTTTGACATAAAATCTACCTGCTATTTACTAAACCTCTAGACAAGCAGTTCTCAAGCTTTTGAGTAATGTGTACCATCTGAATTATAATTGAAAACCTTTAGTACCACCAAAGTACCACTACTACCACCACTCGTGAACAAAGCTCAGATCGCATCAATTTACGAGTGTTAGAGAAAAATCTCAATCAGGATATTGGGGTTTTAATTTTTTAAATAAATAGTTAAAAATACTTTGCTTCTTTGTGTACCACCTATTTTTTCTTGCGTACCACCGGTTGAGAACCTCTGCTTTAGACTGACCAAGTATGTGACAAAATAAGACATAAAAAAATCAACATAAAGCTAACTATTAGCAAAACGTAAACGTCACTTATTTTCTTTCAAATATGTCCAACCTATTATAAATGCTACTTGTAAAATAATTAATGCTACTTGATAAACTGCATATTTTATTCTCAAACTTATTAATAATTATGTTTATTAATTTACATTTGGTAATAATGCATACTACTTATGGATCTATTTTATTTTTAGGATGGTATTAGAAAAGTGAAATTCAGGCATAGAATAATAGTTTTAATTGAATTTAATCAGTTCCCATATGCACATAGGTCCTTAATTTTTTTTTTTCATTAATGGTCCTTAAAAGTCCTTAAAAGTACTTAATTTCCGTGTGCAGAAATGTGTACGAACCCTGCATAACTAACATGTTTTAAAAATGTGTCAACTGCGAACTGTGACATCTTGTCCAGCAATCATCTAGTGCTTTTTTCATTTCTGTTAAGAGACGTGGCAAAATGGACAATGATACCTTCTACATAAAAATGTACCTGCATATCTGTTTATGAAGTTCATGGAGTTTTTTTGCTGAAAATTGTGCTAAGATATCCCCACATCCTTTTTTCCTCCCTAACTTCGGATTTTTTGCCTTTCCACTTTTAAAATAAAATCTGCAGGGATGCCAGTTTGGGTTAATAGTTAGGTAAAAGTTACATCAATTAAGCTATTATTGATGATTACAAAAGATGGCTTATAGCAGTAACTGTACAATTGTTGGCAAGTTTATTGTTGCATAGCAGAATGGTTTTGAAAGTGGTTATTGTTGTTTCTGATGCTCTTTTGTCTGATCTATAGTCAGCCCAATCCCACAAAATTCCTCATGAGAGGTAGCGTAAGTATATGCTTGCCATTGACCATACAGGTGACAGTGCGATTTAGCTCAGTTTCACCCCCAATTTTGATGGAGAACACCCTGGGGGAATGGGTCCAAGGGTCTCCCACTTCTCTTTCTCTACTTCCAATCTCTCGAGAGGACTTTTGGCTTGCCTCATATTTAGAGTGCTGTCATGACACACAGGCACTATATGTTTACAAACATCCATGAATTCTGCGGGATTCAAACTTGGGCCCTTTGGCATGGCTTCGGCAACGCTAACCACTATACTGGTTGGGTGGTAAAAAGTGGTTATGCATTGATACTTTAAACTATTCATTGTTAGGAACTATATGCCATGTCCTTAAACTTGTAGTTTGCTACCTTATGTATATGGGTATCTGCTACATTTTGTAGTCTTTTCTAACATTTAAGATTTTTCTTGTTTAATCTAATAATTAATTTTTAAAATTTGAATAAGTAAATTAGAAATTAGATTGCTTTAAATATTATTGGCTTTTGAAAATTTATTAATGTGTTATTGTATCTTTATTAATTTTCAAAAGCCTATAATTTTGTATAACTTGTATGTTTATTAATTATTAAATATGTATTGTAAATATCTTATTAATCAATTATGTAGCCAGTTTTGTATCTTTTTCTAGTGCCTGACAATATTTTCAAATAATGAAATGTTCAAACATTCTTTGGATTTACTTGTGTCAGAACAAAATACTAGGATACTATTTAATGCTTTAGAAGGAAATTATGCTCTTTGTCTGATAGGTTAGTCAAATTTAATTCATAATTTTCATTCTTGTAATTTTCTATGCTGATGTATATTGCTAAATATTTTTGTGTATGTTTCATTTCTGCTGTTATTTACTGATTTTTAAAATAATTTCAGCTAATCTTATTCATTTGGGCCATTCTGATCTTGAAGTAAGTTTCTTTCACATAAATTACATGCTTTATATAAAAATTGATTGTGTGCGTGGTGTTTTTATATATAAATGCATCTATTCTAGTTAAACTTTTTTTTTCCTAATAAAACGTATATAATCATTATTTTTTAAAATTTGTTTATCTTTGCATTCAGTAATTTGAAAAATCTCTCATTTCGCTGCCTCCTTTTGAGATAAAATTTTTTTAATGACCTCTACACTTTATATGTGTAGGTGCATACATATAAAATTTAATTAATGTTATATATTTGTATATAATTAGCATAAAATTTTAATTGCTTTTGCAGCTTATTAAGATAATGTGTTTAAGATTTATTACTTTGCAAAAACTATCAATGCAATTAATACATAACATAATATTTAATTTTTTTTTAATTTCATAATACAGTACAAAGTCCGTAATCCGGACTTATCGGGACTTCGGTGATTCCGGATTATAGATCATCAATTTAAATCTGGTAAGATGGCATGCAGAAATTATTAAATCAATTAAAAATATGAAACTGTAATTTACGAAATAAAGAGCAATTATGATCTAAAGGTTATCAAAATTTACAAAACAAAAAGCTTAATTTTTATTTGTTTACCTTATTAAACATTTCTTTCAATGTAAGTTGTTAAAGTTGCTTCACTTTTTGTGCTAATACTTTCTCTTTAATTCTATAAACAGACATAATTTCTTGTTCAGTTACAAAATTCCACTGTTCAAGTCCTGTAATTGCTGTGTCGAGAATACCGACTAACTTGTCAATCGAATTTTTTTCGTTTTCAATAATTTCAGTGTCACTTCCTATCAGAAGCATGCATGGGTAAATGCTTTATGCGGATGTGCGCATTAAACGCACATGCATAAGTTTGTGGCTTTGAGGCCGGTTTATAGATCATTCTGGTTAATGGATGTCCGGATTATGGACTTTGTACTATGCTACCATTATAATAGTAAAAATGATTCAGTACAGTACTGATTATACAAACATATTTTAATACCTTATGAATTATATAGTTACAAAGATATTTTTTTAATTCTTCATAAATGGGATAGATTGGCTTAATGGAAGGTATTGATAAATCATATTAGGATACAGATTTGTCAACAGAAGTCTCAAATCATCATATTCAGCAATGTTTTAATGCTTTCTTTGTTTCATCAAAAGTTTACATACAACACTGAATCTTCTTTTCTCTAAATTTGATCAATTGAAAGTTTGAATACATCTTTTTCCATGTATCTTGCTTCAACTACTTTTGACGATTGTTCTTTCATAATAAATCAAATGGTATGTTGTAACATGAATAAACTATTCTTTGTTCACATGAAATACTAAGGCTGTTTGCACATATTTTAGATAATTTTTATTGTATTTACGGAAATATTTTACCTAAAATTTTTGTGTTTTAAATGTTCCATTTGATAACCCTTATTCTTCACTCTCTTTCTAAACTGTAATTTCCAAGACAATAAAGCTTTTTTTAGTAGAGGAAGAGGTATTTTATCCCATTCCTTTTGAACAGTTTTCCAAAGTCCAAGGAGGATTGTAGGTCGACATCCGGATAATCCACTTTTTAAAAGTCCAAAAAGTGTAAAAATCCGTGGATGATATATTAGGAGATTTAATAGAGATTTGATTAAAGGGTATGGTCTTGATACACATTTCTTGTTCCATTTTTTTCCAGGAAATTAACAACGGATTTTGACATGTGGCTGCTTGCTTTGTCTTGATGCAATTCTACTGATTGATGGCACTGTGGGTTAAGAGAAGGTATTTCATATTTCAAAATTGGGTATAAAATATGTTTCTGATAATATGTGGATTTGACCTTAACAGTTTTCTTTACACTCTTTAATTTTTATTTGTCATATTAAAAACCAGCAATAATAATAAATCCCTTTGAAAAACTTTCTAACCGTGTTCTGACAGTTTTTCTTTGCACCGTATTCTATTTTTTTTTTCCTTCTTTCTGATGATAATAAATGGATCTTTCTTTATTGCGATCATTTAAATATACTCAAGATTTATCTATTCTGAAAACATTTTCCCATTTTTTTTCTGAACAATTGTTTCTCGTAGAGAATTCTGCAGCGCTTTCTGCTTTTGCCGTTATTTCATGGAAGAACGATGCATATTACGTTCTTCCATCCTTTTAAGATTCAAATCAGAATTAATCACTTTATTTACAGTCTACACTGAGCATTTTAATGATATTGAAACTGTCCTTTAACTTCGAATATTTTCTTTCAGCGTTAAAGTTCTTGCCTTTGACACATTTAAAGCATTTTATTTTCCCCTTAGATATGTATTTAAAACAATTTTTCTCCTTGAAACCAAACTTTTCTCCTTGAAACCAAACTTTCTCCTTGAAACCAAATGTCTTTTTTACTTTCTTATTGAGAATATTATCTGTCATTGCTTTAGATACTGAAAAACCATGGCTTTCACAGCACTTTTTAATAACTAAATATGAATAATTTTTTCCGGAAGGAGCACAGACTTTGCCTTCTTTCCATTGCTTTGTTAAAAGTGCCATTTTGCCTGAGAACAAAATTATCAAACAACAGAAGATAATATACACTTTCAAAAATATAGCTGCAGTTAAAAAAAATTCCGTGCAGGCGATTTTTTTTTAATAGAAAAGCAATGTCATCTAAAAAATTGTGCAAACACCCTTTGTATTCTGTTGCTGTATTGTTTGCATCTTTCAGCTGCACTGATTTTACTCATTCTGAGTTTTAATGAGTAATATCTAGAAAATGTTTTTTTCTGCTAAGCAAGTTTTTTCACTAACTGTTTACATAATGTAATATGTGGTTTAAAATCTCCATCTTGATCATCAGTAATAAGGGGGAAAACAGGGAACCTAATGCATCCATACTTCAGCTTAATTATATATATTCAGAAATAGTGAATAATTTTAAATGGAAAGCTCTTGCTTAGATTTTAGAGGAGAGTGAATTTCATTGTATCTATTGGTATAAAGTCTAGTGAAAAGCTATTTTAAAATTATTTAAATATCAAATGTAACTTGACATCTAAAATAGAAATTTAAAGAGAGGGGAGGAAAAAGATGCTTTATATTAGTGAAGTTATTAGGTGTGAGCAAAGATATTTTATATTTGCAAAACCTCTGAAAATACTTTAAAATTTGCAGAAATTTATGCTGCAGTAGAATTAATATTCTAGCATAAGCAATAGAAAATTGAAATGGGTAAATTCTGTCAAGTAATAATAATGTTTTGTGATTGCGTATTTGCACTAAATATTTAATGTGCAGTTGTCACATATTTCATATATATATATATATATATATATATATATATATTTTTCAGAATCTGCAATCTAATTTATTGGACTTCATCGTGAGTATTTTTTATTTTTGAAATTTTTATTATATTTATTAATTCTTTAATGGAGTTAGCATTAATTATATTTATCTCTAGAGAAGTCCTTGTATTTTTATTATTAAAATATAATTATTTCTTCTAGAATGTTATAACTAGAATCATGGAAAGCTGTCAGAAATATGTTGTGAACAAGCAGTCTAATTTAACTCACTGGCATCCTGTTTTGGGATGGTTTGCTCAAAAAATTGACCATGGGTAATTATTTTTATAATTTAATTTGTGCTATCAAGTATTTTAAGCAGGTATGTGATTCTGAAAGTCTTTCTTTCAGTAAGAAAAAGAAATATCAATTATGTTTTATTTAATCAAAAAATTGCATGAAATGAAGTGATGCATGCTGAATAAATTATAGCATTTAATGTCTTTAACTTCGATTTCAATTAAGAAGTTTTACAGTTTTAGGAGTTGGTATCAGGTTCAGGTGGAGTTGGTATCATTTGATTCTTCAAATCTCATCTTTCAAGGTGAATTATTCAGAGGTAGTTAATGGCTCAAAACAGCTCAGCTGGTAGAAGCATTTGGCATTAGAAGAGAAGATCAGGATTTTTATACTAACCACAGGTCTTATCATAACATTGTGAGATGGTGTAGGTGACGCACCATCAATGTGTGTCAACTGCACTATGTTATAACATATATGAAGAATGAGGAACTCCTTGATATAAAAAAAAGTCGTAAATAAGCACTGAAATATGAATTATTAACTAAACTATATAGATTTTCATAAAACTAAAGTTTCTATTCATCAGTTAAAGCTTTTACAGTAATTTTTATCAAAATTTGAAAGAAAGGCATAAAAATCAGCTGAGGAGGATTTATTAATTTCATTCTTTTAAATTATTATGTATGCTCTGGAATATACAATTTCAAGGCTGTGTGTGTGTTTTATAATTAAACAGCATCTAGAGCAGTTGGATTTTTCAAAGATGTCAGATCTGAAATTCCAAGAGAAACATGCTATTGTAAAATTAAAAATTAAGTAAAATAACCTCGTTCATTTTAATGTAGATTTTGCAAGGAAAAGTTCATCAATTTTGAGGGCTATCAGATGCATGTTTCTTTTCTTCAGGGGCAAAAATAATTCTACAAAATGTGATGAGTAATAACCATATTTGTATCAAAGGAATAGGCAGAGCAAAACAATCATGAATGCAGTGCCATCTGATAAGGAAAATAGTAATGAAGCATAAAAACTAAGATATTAGCATTTTAAAAGCTTTAAGAAGAACTGGATTGGAATTAATGTCATTAACTAAAGAAGATAATTTTTTCTAAACGTGGAAAGCTGTAAGGAAATTCATTTCGTCAACTGAAGAATCTTTATGTATAATTTTCACAAAATCAGAATTGTGATTAAGTTTCTAACTGTGACTGGCTACATAAGATTTGGATATTTCTTATTTTCGAACATAAAATTCATATTCCTTTGCGCAAAATTTCTTCAGAAATATCATTACAGAGATCCCTGAATTGTTTCATCAAGGGAAATTTCCATTTGTATTCTCAGCTGATCATCAGATTTTTGAATAATGCTTTATTCTAATATTGCCTGCACTACATTGCTTTATTCTCCCTATTTCCTGCACTACATTGCTTTATTCTCATATTGCCTGCACTGCATTTATTAATCAAAATATTTTCAGCTTGTATTCAAAATGTATCTTTTACAAATGTTTATAAGTATCATATTTAATGCTTTATAAAAGGTTGTAAGCTTTCACAGCATACATGCATTCTATATTATCAAATTGTTTTATAGTTTTTATTTTAAAATTTAATATGAATTTTTCCATTGTTTTCATTGAGATATCTGACTTAGCTTTCTGCACGCATACCACATACTGTAGGTTCCTTAAAGACACTGTCTCTTTTTTTATTCTCATTTTAGGATTTTGATGTTAAATTTGTGCAATTCTCTGTTTTTTTTTGTTTTTTTTTTTTTTTTTTTTAAGAAAAAGTGTGTTACTGTGTATATGGAAAAAAATTAGTGCTAAAAAAAAAGCTGAAAAGTGTGCATAAACAGAAATAGATGCATCATTGAAACAGATGTAAAGATACCCAAACATTTCTCTCCAAAGTCAGCAATGAGTTTGTGACTTTTTGTTGGGGATGCATATGATTAAAAGTAATCTGTCATTACTAGTTTGCATGCAAAAAAAAATAAAAGTTCCGTAATAAACTTCTATATAAGGGGTTTTTTATTTGAAATGTTGGAAGTTTTGGAATAACTATATATATGTGTGTGTAAGATAAAAAAATATGAAACTCAGTTTTATAATTTTAATTTGAGAATAGGCTTTTAATTCATTTTTAATCCCTCTCATAATAACTTTTCTGCACTACGTCATTTCTAGATCAATCTACGTCACATGGCCTGCGTAATGATGATGACATAGCTTATTCAAAACTTAAACTCTTGAGAACCGAAACCTTTCTAACCCAAACCAAAGTCTTCTTTTCCATATTGGATAACTGCACACTTCACTTCTACCGTTGTTGCTGCTAAGACGTTATTTTGCTGTGCTCTCTTTCTGTTGCAACAGTATCGATGTAAATTTCTAAAATATGCACTATTAGATTGTGAAGTGAAATTTTGGCCATAATGTCAGTTTGAATAAAAGTGGAATTTAATCTGCCTTGACTGCCAAGTTTTTTAAATATAATGAACTCAACTATGGCTACTATGGCTTTATCTTCCCAGGATATAATGCAGAGAACCATTGTCAATCTTTTGCAGCTTACTCTAACTCATTTTATTACAATTAGCTGACAGGATGTCCTAAGTGCAAATGGAAAGTTCATCTATGAAATTATAAAGTGTGTTAAAAAAATAAATCTTGTTTTCATGCTACAAGCACCAGTGGAACATTTATTCCTTAATTGAATTTCTGTAAAATACTATCTGCAAAACTCAAATAACTGTGTTCTTTCATCTGCAAGTCCAAAATCGAAAAGTTGAAGGTCTCATGGAAAGGAGTATTGAATTTAGTATTTCAGCCACCTCAGCAATATCTAGGTAAAAAAACAAAAGTGTGTTTTAAATCATCAAAGTGATTTAACGTTTAGATTTGGCATACAGCTGGTTTAGGATCATCGATCTGTGTTTAATGCAGTTCAAGTATGTGCGACAAAAAATTATTTGCGTGATAGTCTAAAACAGCCTTCTTTCTTCAGATACATGGATTTAAAAAAAGCACTTCATCAAACAAGAGCTCAAAATTATTATCTCATATGACTCTAACTTGGGTTTATTTTCCAGCGAGACAAGATTATTTAATATGCTGCAGATTCTATACTTTGCATTTAAATTTTGCTTAAAGTTTCTGCAATTTGATTGTCCTGTTTTGCAAAAATATGAAATCATAATATCAAAAGATTTAACATTTCATAATCATGTGTGATAAAATTAAATAAAAGTAAAATAAGATAAAATCAGCTTTATAATTTAATTTATGAATAAGCATTTAATTATTTTTTAATTTAGGTATTCCCCTTTTGTAATAACTTTTCTGCACTGCGTCATTTCTAGATCAATCTATGTTGTGTGGCTTGTGTAATGCTGATGATATAGCTTATTAAAAACTTAAACTCTTGAGAACTGAAACCTTTAGGATGGAACATATTTTTGAAGCATATTAATCAACATGAAGCTTTAATTCATTTTCCCCTGATTAGTTCTGAATTAAAGTTTCAATAAGGGAGATTAATTTTTATATTTTTATTGTGTTGTATATATTTTCCCTTTTTGCATATTTACTTTTTGAGTTTATACTAATATGATCATTTTTATTTTGAAATGCTTTGATTTTATGTTTAACCCCTTTTTACAAGGATGCAATTATTAATATTGTTGAGGAATCACCTTGTTTTGACTCCAATTTACTTTTAACTTTAGATGATTTAAGTTTATATATACTTATCATTTAAGTGTTAAAATCTATTATCAGCTATTTCAGATTAATTTATAGCTAATTTTATTATTTATTTTAATTACAGCAGTATATCTGTTTTCCAAATTTTATATGTCTGTGCATTTAATAGACCTTTTTTGTATTTTGTACAGGCTTCATGAATCTCTTTCACTTGTAAAAAAGCAAGTTCAGTTATTATGGAGTGGTTCTATGATCAAAACCATGTTTTCCCATTTAGTGGATTCTGTTGCATGCCCTCCTCAGCCATCTAGTCCAACATCAAACCAAAGTGCTACTTCACCAGTTCAAAATTCTCCATTTAAAACAAGTATGTTTTTAAATTAATATTTCAGTTATAATTTTTTTCACTTTATAATTTGCCTTATATATAATCCAATTATTTATGACTACTTAAAACAACATTTTATTATTCCTTTCATCTTTTTTATCAGTTTTAAGGACAGCAATAATGAGTTACTCAGTTATCAAGAAATTTTCTGTTAAAATAAACAGAAATTTTCATAATACACATTCTTCTTACATTATTAAATGAAAATCCCAGGAAGAATTCTTGAATTCTAACTTAACCATACTTATATGGAATTTTTCTTTATTCTATGACTCAAAAAGTCAGATTGTCAAGAATGTACTGAATTTAAAAGCTGTTCTTTCATAATTGCTTTCTGTATACTTGATTTATCCAGTAAAAAGCTTCAGTCTGGTTAGAATTTAACCCCTTCGAGCCGGGTAGCGAAAACTCGCGCTTATCGCGGAGGCCAGCAGTGTCTTCCGCGAGCGTCTCTTCAGGACCGGGGGCTTTTTTGCTACTAAGCCTAAATCCATGAAATTTCCGAAGTATCAACGCATTGTTTAATAATGCTCTATAGAGTATTTAAACGGCTTATGCTTTATAGATATTTTTATATATATACTTTAATTACCTTATTTCTTGTTTAAATGCATATTTTACACATTTTATTTTAATTACTCACCATTTTATTTTTATGACTTTTAATTTAACATTATAATCTGAAAACTAAATATATTACTTAAAATTCTCTTTTCGTATGAAAAATTTGAAAACAGGGATCTACACACAGTCCTACGTTACATTCCTTGAACTCGTAATAACTCATTTGCCGTTTTGGAGGATTTTTCCGGGAATGTGAACAAACGAAGCATCGTCGTCTCATTTTCTTATCAGTCTCTTCTGAACAAAGTTTTGGAAAATGTCTTTTAGTTAATCTTTCAGAATCAATATCTGAAATATTTTGCATCATTTCTGCTATTTCATGCTCTGTTAAACATTTTTGACGCTTCGTCATTGAAACGGTAAAAACAGAAAGAATTCACGTCTAACAAGATCTAATTATTTTCTAAAAACTGAACTGTAAATGGAAATACTCAACGCTTTAGCGCATATAAAACTTCTACTTACAATAAACAACTACCACGTGCGAATAAAGTGCGATTTAAAGAGACGTCATAAATCATGCCATTCGGAAACATTTAGTTCCCCATTTGTTTATATAATCAAAAACACGTGTATGTGAGTCATGCTTCTCTCATTTCAAGTAGAAGGTCTAATGCACATGTATCTGAAACCATATGGTCATACAGTGCCATCTGTTGGCAGAAATTATAGTTTGAAAAACGTTCCAAGGTACTGGCACAAATACGTGACAGTCGGTAGAGAATGCAACAATGCTCTGGCACGCCTGCGTGTCGGCCGGTAGATAAGTGTGTTCGTTGCTGGCACGTATACGTGACAGTCGGCGCGAAGGGGTTAATTGTCTCTTTGCAACAAAGCACTTGGAAATAATATGGAATCTTGCATAATGATATATTAAAGAACAATGAAGATGTATTTCATTGGAAAAAAATTATTCATTTCATTACCAATCAAAAGAGAAGGAATTTTATAAGCCTGCAATATGAAAACTTCAGATTACTGACACCTCAAAAATTAGTTTACCATTAAAAGTTTCATAAATAAAAGTTTAAAGATTTGATATTTTGTTTTTCTCCTTAATTAAAAATAGTAACTATTATTGCCAACTCATAAAACTAATTTTTTTCTTGGTTACTTACACATTGTGCTGTAGACCATAAAGGTTGGCTACCATCAAACCATGAATGTTGTTGCATATCCCACCAGAGTTGCTAGAATCATTCCTGTGAGATTCTGAAGGAATTAATGTCCCTTCATTTAGTAAACAATTAGTATTTGGCCTGCTTTGTATAAAGACTTTTGTTGGTTTCTCTATCTTAGGCCCTCCGTTTTTTCTTGAAGACTTGTTTTGAATGCTATGAGTCCAAACTTCCCACAGGCGATTGTTCCATTCTATTGCTGCTTTGTTGACTATATTCAGCTGATCATATTATGCCCATTAATACTCACTTTTTTTATGGTACGATCCTGTAACTTTGAAAATAGTCCATTCCTTGCTGTTCGTTGCATAGGAGGTCCCAAATCGTAATCATTTTTCCGAAAATTCAAGAAGAAATACAGCAATAACAGTTAGTTTATATCCTTGTTCGCAAAAACAAAAGGTGGCTTATCAATAATCAATTGGTGCAAATGTTATAAATGTGTCTTGACATGCTTATTCATAACTGGCACTAAATCAAGCTTGGCAACAGTTTCAAGGTCAATAGGAAAATACGTAAATATTTTTTGTTGTTGAAACAAAAATTTCAAGCCTTGACATTTATTTTTACATTTTTAAAAAAAATAAATGTCATAAACAAATAAAACAGAAAAAATATTTAAACAATGTATTACTATTTGAAAAAAAATTAAGAAAAGTATATGGAGAAACTTGTAGTCTATGTATTACTGAAAATTTCATCATAACCATTAAATTTTATTTTGGGTACAAGCATATGTTGCAAAATAATATTAAGGAAGTTCAGAAAAAATTATTTTATCATGCTGAGAAGCTATGCATTAATTAAAAAATCATATTCATCATCAGTTGATAATTATGTCTTTTCATATTTTTGTCTTTACTTAATCGACAGGCTTATGACTCTAACTGCCTATATTAAATTAAGGCCTTCACTCAAATATGGGCACTTGGAAGATCAAATTTGTTTTATTGTCTATTCTTATTTTGTGAACTTTTAACGACTTTTTTATTAACAAACTCGATGATTTCAAAGCAAGCAGTGGCAACACTGTACAGGGAAAAAAAAAAAAAAAAACATTTTTATCTCCAGCGTGCAGGATTGTCTATTAGAAATTCTAAAGATATGCTGTTTTTAAACATTTTTAGCCTAAATGCTCTCAAAACATGTATGTGTGTGTAAATGAAAAATGTCCCTTTGAATGTAATATTAAACCTGAAAACTTTCAGGTTTATTATTATTATTATTATTATTATTATTATTTTACTTTATAATCACCATGTAAGAATATACATGATTGATGAGATTCTTCACATCAATTCAGCAGAAACTATAGTTAAAATATTTTTAGGTTAGCAAATTTTGCTAAAACTGGAGTGTAATATTTATTTAAGCAATTTTTGGCTCCTTGAGTAGCTAGATTTATTGCTTATTTTGGCACCAAACCAGTTCTTATTTTTTTCCCATTCTCTTGCCATTACTTACATGTATGCAGGGAATTATGATCTCGTAAACAGAACTAATTCATGATGCAAGTAGTAGTATACATTTTATGGGATGCGTTGAAATTATTGACATTGGGGAAAATAGTCAAATTGTTTGAGTAATACATTCATTTGGTGTATATTAGCATGTGTGATCTAAAGGAGTTGATGTATGCGTTGCTTTTTGCTATTATTTAAAAAATTTCTTATTTCAGGTATATTTAAAAAGGCATTAGAAAAAGCATCTTCTAGTCGTTTAACTACTGTGCATTATAGGAGATTGGGAAGTCCAGAAACAACACTAGTAGCACTGACATGCAATTTATATGAAACAGCTCTTGCTACATTAACCCAGATGAAGTTAGACATACTTACTGGTAACAATACTATTTTTCAATTATCTTATTCAACATATTAAAAAAATATTGAAATTGATCAGTGCAGAATCTGTTGCATCTTTTTTTTTTTTTTTTTTTTTTTTTTTTTTTTTTAAGTATCTAAAAAATGATCATTTAAATTACAATCCCAGTGGTATTGCTATGTATCCTTTACTACAATTGTAAAATGACAACTGAATGAGTCTCATTTAATGCAATCTGAAGAATCTAAGTGTTAGCAGTGAATCTTTTATTTCAGGTAGTAACCATAATAATTTATCACCCTTCAAGAAGAATGGTAGGTAACTCAGTTACATAAGCTATGTAACTTGTTGGCTACAGTAGATGAAGGCAGTGCAGCAGGAATCAAATTATATGCAATAGATTGAATTGCAAAATCTCATAATAGGTGGAACAGATGTTGATATGGCTGACAATATTAGTCCTGTGTGAGGCATAAAATTTGCAGGACAACTTAAGATTGTAATTCCTGTCCTTTATATGAGAGTATGATATACAATAATATGTATAGGACCTTGCAAAACAAATGTAATACCAGACCTCATTATTCACCAAGAAATAAGCTAAAAAAACTCCCTTTTATATAAAAATTTGTTTTGTTTACTAAACCATTAAAAAGATAAGGAAAAAGTTTGTTGTTTAAGTGAGTTGAAGTTTCTGTTACACACACAGACTGTTGACTATATCCATCTGTATGACAACAATGACATGAAGCAATGGATCTTGCATCTATGATGGCCAGGGCATAGATTTTAATAATTTAAAAATGGCCAGAAAATCAACTTAAAAATATAAAAAAGTGCCCCAAAGTAAATAATAATATAAAATATCACACAATTAACAAACTTTTACAGATATTTATTTTTATTAAAATCCAAACAGTTTACACATACATTTGAATTTTATTTTTTCTTCTAAATTTTTAACTAATGCAAATTTTTTATGATTGTGCTAAATGAAGTGCTTCTTGATGCCTTTTTAAAGTGAAAGATCTTCCATTGTCAGCATATAAGTTTTTATATCATGAGAAGATTCTCTCAACATCTACTGCAGTTATTAGAGCATACTTGAAAAAAAAATGCATGACTTATTGTAAATCTTCTTCAGTTTCAAAAGTCTGCTTCTCCTACCAAGATGAGAGATATTTTATGCACAGTTTGAATTTTAGTCAAAACAGTATTGAATTTAGCAAATGCAGCATTTGACCTTTGGCCTTTTTTTAAATGTCACTTAAATTATCAGTGCAATTTATTACATTGGCAGGTTCCATATTTTGCTCTTATAAAGATTTGATACTTGACATTAGGATCTTGAAATTGGGTCTGAATTGCACAAGATTTCCTTCAGTTTTGTCTGTGGAAAAAATATTCTGTGCAATTAGATTCAAAGCATCAGCATCTGCATCTATTCATAGTAACAATTTTTAACAATTTGAAAATTTTCACTATAGTACATGCATGCATTGAGCCATGTTTTTCAGTGTGTTATATAAAGGGACCTGATATATTTGAAGGACATTCTCTGTCCCATCATCATGTTTAATATATGTAACGTCCCAATATATAAGCAAAATTTATGCAACAAAAATTTAAAATTTTTTTAAAAAGTATACTGCTTGTTTCAAAAGTGCTTTTGAGAGGAATCATTTAGCAGAAAGTATGGTTGCCAAACATGTTTTCCTAATACGATAGTCCCTTTTTAAAAAAGGAAAAGATCCAAGGTCATTCGCCAACTTACCGCATATGGACTCTACCAGCTAAGCAAAATAGTGAAATTAAATAGAAAAACATATTGCATGCAGTTGTGTGTATGTGATTTCAAGAATGTATCTGTGAAATAGCTTTTTTATTATATTAATTTCCTAACTAGGTAGATATGCCACAATAACCCTTCTTGTGACTGTCTTAATGCTCCCCAATAGCCTCTGAACCCATTTCCACACCCAAAGGCTTCAGCACCCACTGGGGGCAGTATTGTCCCTGTTGGAAACCTTCGCTTTAGAATTATCAATTGGTCTGCTTAAGAAATAAGAACTTATATTAATTTTTAATTTCAAAATAGAGGGCATTTGATATTTTTTCTGAACTCAAAAAAAAAAAAAAAAAAAAAGACTGGGAGAAGAAAGCTGTTCTAAGGACTAGTCTTTCCAAAAAAAGAGGAACATTGCCAACCATACTTTTATGCATGACTTTTTGTAATGCTTATGTTTTTCTGCTTCTTTTTATTCTGAATTCAGTAGTTTTATAAAATCTGTGCAGCTGATTCCAAACTTTGTGGATTTCTGGTTTGCTTTTTTCTGCTGCATTAATTTTCTGGAAATTCTGAAATTATTTATGTTCTGTAGTGCATTTAATTATAGTTATACATATATTTTTTAAGTTTATTATTATAGTTATGAGTTAAAAAATTGATGCAAATGCATTCAGATGCATTTAACTCTTTTGTAACAGTATAGTTATTGTTACAAAATAGTAAATTTGATAACAATAATGGATTTCACTATTTTAAAATCAAATTTCACTGTTTTCTAGCATTGCATGTGATTTATTTTTAAATTTAATTACTAATTGTTGTTATACTGTGGAAATCAAAACTACAATTTAAATTTAAAAAGCATAGTTTTGCAATCATTATTTCATAATTTAGCTTAGTTTTATGTTCATTAATTTGTACTTCTATGTAGGTCTTTGCTATCAGGATATGGTGCTGCCGAATCTCTGGAAGTTCATCAGTAGTCTTGGTCCTGGAAATGGTTTAAAAGCATTCTTGGATCATTTAGCAATAACTACAAAAACATGTAGTCCTGAATTCCAAATTTTGGTTCTGTTTTGTGATTGTGCTACTCATTTAATAACGTAATGAAATTTTATTTAGTTAAGAACTTGATATTTATTGAAAAGTGACTTATATTAAGCACTAAGATTGCATTTAGAGTAGATTATATATCTGTATGACTAATGCATGCATTTACCTATTTATAATAAAATACATCATAGACTTCCATTAATTTTTTTTACCTTCCGTGGCATCTTCTAAATGACCTAAAATATGCAAAGAGAATTGTAAAATTTCTTTTAAATTAAATGGTGATACTAATTTTTAAAATTACTTAGATGTACCAGAAAGGTATATTAAAAAGGGGAAAAAACTGACCTTTCTTCATTGTTTTTAAAATTCAGCTTTTTTCCATATTAAAATATTATATAGTCCCTATGATATTTCTCGCCAGTTGTCAGCCAACCCGTATATTCCTTTCAGCTTTTCCCACCAGTTGCCTGGCCAAGTGGCTAAAGCCACAAATTGTTGGTAGTTTACCTCAAGCTCTTTTCCAGTTATGAACAGCTTATTGTTTTCCCATATGCAATTTTCAATGTGAGGCACTTTCTCTTAAAATTTTGTTTGCTAGGATATTCATTTTCTGGTATTTACATATTTGTGCATCTACATTAGTAGAAGTCTCCAAACTCTGGCAACCGTGCACATTGTCATTCTTTAGGTGGCCATGCAAATAATATTAATTCAATTTTAACAAGCAGCATCACCATTTTCATTTGCATACTTTTTGTTGTGTTCCAAGTTTCAGCAGCTTTTACAGATAAATAAATCATAAATTCAGTTTAAAATTTGCACTTGCAAAATTTCCCTGCTGTGGGAGAAATTTCATAAAAATTTCTGCAGTAGTATGGTACTTTCCCATAAAATTGCTAGTGGGATTAAATGCTTTGAATCTTTTCTTAAAGCAATAACAATGAAATTTCAGTCAGAATAAAAGAAACAAAAAATGGTGAAATGGGTTTATTGATTGATTTCCAGTATAAATACTTAACTAAAATGTAAAATAAATATGTAAATATATGTGTGCTAAAAAATTGTCAAACTGCACCAAGGTGGTTGTAGTAATATTTATAAATACCAATTTATAAGTATCAAGTGGTTGTAGTAATATTTATAAATACCAATTTATAAGTACCAAGTGGTTGTAGTAATATTTATAAATACCAATTTATAAGTACCAAGTGTCTCTCATTCTTCTTTTTCTACCACCAAACCACTCGTCCCTGCAGCATTTGAGTGCCATCATACCATACAGACACTGTACTCTTACAAGCATCCACACTTTGTCAGAAATTTGAATCCGGGCCCATCAGTATAGCAGCCAGCACTGCTAACCACTGTACTGGTCAAAATGTCTATATATATATATATGCATACACACACACACATCGATATATATTTATTTATTTATATGCACACACACATATAATATAAATTTATTCTCATTTTGTTAAAAAGAAAAAATTACATCCAATCAGCTGCTTTCAGATTATACTTCAGCTCGCATGCAATTTGAGTTTTGAGACTGCTGATATTTATTTATAATTATGAAATGAAAATGTTAAAAAATCCTTTTTTTTTTTTTTTTTTTTTTTTTTTTTTTTTTTGTTTTTTTTTTTTTTTTTTTTTTTTTTTTTTTTTTTTTTTTCATAAATAGAAAATAATGTTGAAATACTATTAAATACATTAAAATTAATTTTCAACCTTTCTTGGAATTTAATTTTTCTTGCTTTAGTGAAGCAAAATCTACAATAATGTTTTTACTTAATTCATATTCTATAGAAAAAGCAGCCTTGTTTGAATTTTTTTTAATATAAGCAAGGTTTTGCATATTATTTTATTAATTTAAGTTTGCTGAAGCTTATTTCCCATATTAATAATAATGGACGAGTCTAAAAACATTATTAACATAATTTTTGAATTCGAATCACCAATTTGCTACCATGTGAATAGTGACCGTCTAGAGATTAACCTGAGGTAAATGCCTTACTTGCCTCACCCTTTGGGCAAGTCAGGCATTTACCTACTCTGGGAGACAGTGAATTATATTATTTTTTTATTACATGAGAAATAATTTAAGTTAAAAATATAATTAAACTTCATATTTTTTCATGTAATACTTTATTCCAATTCTTTGTATTCTTCTGCAGTGTTAAAAATTCTGCCATTCATAAATATAAAATTCCAAGTAATACTGGAAGAAATGATCTATTAATGTCAAATATATTATACAGAATTCATTTTTAATAATGGATTATTTAATTTCATTTTTAATAATGGATTATTTGCTTATTTAATTACCAATGAAAGAAATATTATAGTCATAATTCACAGAAATTATGAATATGGAAACAAAATACTTATTGCCTGTGAAATGAGACTTGTATATCACTCGTAAAAGCTCAAGTTAATGCTATTTATTTTGTATACTTAAATATCTGGGTTCTGATTATAGGTGGTTTTATATTTATTAGGATCTTAGATGACGTTGAACTGTATGAACAACAGAAACCATTTTGCCTTGAAGACTTAGTATCCATATCATCTTTCTTGAACCAGCTGGTCTTTAAACTAATCTGGAACAATCTAATTGGTGTGTATTACCTGATTTATTCGTACGGTGTCGATTTTCCAGCAATTTATATATATTTCTGAAGTTTTTTTAATCTTCAGATAATAATTTTAAAAATCAGCAGGTATGATTTCTTTATTAGGAATAAGATTGCAGCATATAAGATGTACATTAAAGCTTTAATATTCCACTTCTCTTTGTACTGAAATTATGGTAACAAACATTTTAGAAGAGACAAGGGACTCTTTCTAGTTTATAAATATCATGTTAATTGCAATGCATTCAAAATTAATAGCCTTTCTTGTTGTGGCTGACTGAAATTTGGGATTTGTGAATAATAGCCACTCACAATAGACTTTTGATTTTCTGAGTTATTTTTACTATTGTTATATATAATATTTTCTAAACTGTTATTAACAAAATGAATTTATATTTCTGAAATTTATTTTTCAAGAAGAAAATGTATAAAATTTCACTTTGAGAATTATCAGTAGCATTAAATTTTCAAGAGAAGAAAATATATAAAATTTCACTTTGAGAATTATCAGTAGCATATTAAATCTTATTTCCAATTTTTCTTAGAATGATAATATTTTTCTCTATTGCTATTAATAAATTGTTATTTGATGCTGTTTCATTAACAATATCTCTCTGAATTTATCAGGAGACGGTCAGCGAGATATTGTCATTTAATACAGCATTTGATACTAAAAAAAAATTAATTAATATTATGAATAAAATTAGATTATTTATAATTAAATTATAGATCAGAGATGTATATATCTATATATGTATGTGTGTGTGTGCAATAAAGATAAAAATATGTAAGTTTAGGTTAGCAATAGCCCCTCAATGCTTGATTTTAGTTTGGGTATTTCCCTTCTGTATTCTAAAAGTAATAATGCTTTTTTCTGTGTTGCATCATTTCAAAACCTGTCATATGATTCCTAAATATAGGTGACATAAATGGAACTAAATTCAAATAGCCAATAATAATTTTACAGCATTATTAATTATCCAATCAAATGCATTCAAAACTGAAACTAGCTCATTCTGAATTAATATTTCATCCTGAATGCAAGACACTTGCATTCAGGATGAAAATTTCTTCTCTTCAGCCTAGATCGATTGCTGCTTGCTGTTTCTCTTTTCACTGCAAAGCTATCCAAAATGTAAATGTTTTTGAAAAGGCACTAGTAGTGTACCAGCTTGTTTGTGTTTGCAAAATGTTTACCAAAATAAAAATGAGCATTTAACCTGCCTCAGCTGCCAAGTTGCTGTTCATTATGAATCATGATCTACAAAAGACAATACTTCTACATCTATGCTATCAGTGTATCTATACCATTACATCCAAGTCTGCTTCATTACTATATATATATATATATATATTATTAATATAATTATTATTATTTAGAATTTAGTTGTAATTGGGATTATAAAATGGGTCTAATAAATTTGGGAGAATGAAACTTACTTTTTGAGTATCAGTATTAAATGACAGTAGCGTGTGTGCTATCTTCTGATGAATTCAGAAAGGTATGCTTAATTAAACAGCATCAAATTAACATATTTTATAATTTTAATAAGCTTTAATTTTAATCATGGTTTTTCAAAATAGTTTGCTTTTAATATTTGCAGTTTACTTTGGCAGTATGCTAACTTTCACAATAAAGCTTAAAACTTTAAAACTGCCTAGTTGTAATTTACTTTAAAACAATCTTGGCAGCAATTAGGCTTGAATTCAATTTTGAAAATTCTGTCTGCACACTTCTTTTGTTATTATATAAATATAGGAAAAGGAATTAAGAAAATTCTTTAAACTATTAATTCTGTCAAAATCAAAAGAACAAGTGTACATTGGGAGCAAAATTACATTGTAATTAAATTATATTAAATGCTGAAACTATAATCTTCCAATGTTTTACAAAAATGCAATAGAAAAAGTTGTGAATCAGTAAAAACAGTTTTTAGAATTAATCAAAAATGAAGCCAAGACCAAATAGCCAAATCAATTAGAACAGTCAGATTGAATCATTTTTGCTCTGATTTTTTTGCCCGTTTCTAGCGTTTTCAATATATGCTGCACATAGAAAATGTTGTCCATGTTAAATAAGTTTTTAAGTGACTCAAGTTGGTGTTTTATTGATGAAATTCCAGACAGCAAAATAATCTATAGTTTTGCCGCTTAATAACCTTTTTCAATCTGGTAGAGCAGTGGTCTCAGACTGGTGGCCCATGAGCCACATATGCAGGAGCATAGCTAGAGTTTTCAATGCCCGGCGACAACTAAAGAATTAGCGCCCCTTTCTGTGTGCCAAGAATGGAAAACATTTCATTAAAAAATTCCGTAGCATCAATTTGGCACCCCTTGGATACTGTGCCAAGGACAGATATCCCTCCTTGCCCCATCCTAGCTATGCCACTGCGCATATGACCCCATTATGCAACCCACCAATGCATTTTTTTTTTTTTTTTTTTTAAATATGGTGCCATAAGTGTGCAGATGGATAACATTGTTGAAACAATAACTAAAGCAGCAAACTAAACTATCTGCAGATGAGCTCTAAATCACCAGGTTTGCTGCATTGCTTGAATGAACTGAAAGTAAATACAAAAAAAATTATTTAGTATAACAAGGTGAAGCAGTTGTAGAGTTATAAGGATTTTGTTATGCTGGAAAGGTAAAAAATGAGTAATGCCCTCGTATTAAAACAATTTATGGATTTAATAAATGAATTCAAAATTTTGACACAAAAATAAATAAAGAAATAAACCTTCGATGAGCTTTTTAATGATACATGAATAACGGATTTAGCATTTCTTGTTGATTAGCTAGACGTGTAAATAATCTCAGTAAAGAACTGCATGGAAAAAGTTAACTTATCATTGACATAACAAGCATACATTAATGTATATGTTTGTATTAAACCTTGTAAAGTAATTTTTTTAATTTTTTCCTTTAGGTTATTATTATTATTGTTTATTATGTTTTGATAAATATCTGTAGGGATTTAAGCACCTAAAGGACAAAAAAAAAAAAAAAAAAAAAAAAAAAAAGGAATTTTACTGAAAAAAAGTTCATATTTTAGTGAGGGGGGAGAAAGAAATAATTATAAGTTGGAGAAATGAAATGTAAATATATAGAAAAACATTGTAGAAAAAGCAATTAAATATTATTGAAATAATTTTTCAATTAACCGTGTTCAAGACAAATTAAATTTAAAAATTATAATTTCCAAGCATATTATAAACTTACATGCTTACATCACATCAGACTGTAAAGGGGTGATATTCATATATTAGGAGTACATACGGCATAATATAAATATATATATGTATACACGCACACGTATATATAAATTCATTCTCATTCTGTTTAAAAAAATGGTGTGGCCTGTCAACTGCTTTCAGATCATTCATTCGGCTTGCATGCAATTTGAGTTTGAGACCACTGCTATGGAGGGCATGAGTTACTGTTTTTACAGTGGAATGGAGGCACACAAAAGTATAATATGTACTTGCAAATTTCGAGGAATTTATGTGGCCCTAAAATATTGTTGTCTTCTTCCCTTCAAAAGAAAATCATATGCTCCATATATGTTAAGAGTTACTTGCATTATTTGAATGCACTTGAAAATTACGAATAAATTGCTCTTAAATTTTTCTGGATTAAATTTAGGTATACAGAAACAAGAAAATATAAAAGTAATGTATTCTTTGTGCTGAAATATGAAATTATGTATTTTTGTTACATTTTATTCTAAAGTTTGTATCGCTTTATTTTTTTTCCTTAATTAGAATATCTATGACTAATGATTTTATTATTTTATTCTTTTTAATCATATCGTGTAAGTTATGCATTTGCTGCACCATTTCAGTAGTATTCAGCATCCAACCCAAAATTAAGGAACATATATTTTTTTTAAATGTTTTTGTATATTCTTTCCATCATTAACTGATAGTCTTTCAAAGTAACTATCAGAAACAAACACCTTTTAAAATAGTATTTCTTTAACTGAAATTACATTGAAACTTTTCTTTGTGTGGGGTTATTAAGATTTTTTTCCTACTCGGCATTGGAAACAAAAATCTCAATTAACTGAAATCTAGAGGTGCATTAGAAATTAGGAGATCGGTAAAAATTATTTTCCAAAAAACAACTAGATACTTATTTTAATCCAAATTATTGTTAAGGGCCAGTAATAACTTTAATAACTTAAGTCTTTTATTAATGATTTTTTTTTGTAATATCTGGTAATAAAAATCGTGTTTTTAAGCATTTCTGATCACTTTTGTGATGTGTTATTGTGTTGTCCTTTTTTATTGGTGCATGATAAGATTCAGTGTAGAATACATTATTGCGTTGTACCAGAATTTCTTTCATGTGTATTATGTATGGATTTCCATTTTTATTTATTAATATGTTTCAATTTAGATTCAAAAGCTGTTAAGAGCAATGCTCTGTTAACTTCAGCTCATACTTTGTTAATGCTGCTTTATAAGAGAGATTGCAGGCATTCCTATACTCCACCAGATCACTGGCTCATAAAGTATGGCTTTTATCTCTTGTAATAAATATTTATTTCTGCTGCTGTTGTTGTTTATTAAATATTTTCTATGATTGTTATTTGTTAAACGTTTTGGGGTAATAGCATTTATTTATTTTTATAAAATATACTTTTATAAAAATGTGATGGTTTTAATAAAAGGCATTTACATAAATTTTATTAACACTTCGTAGAAGAGAAAGAAGTTCTTCATAACTGAGCTGTATTGACTGTCTGGTTAAAAGTCATTTTAACTGCTTAAAATAACCAAAATCTTTAAATAGTTACTGCTTTGTACTTCACAGTTTGTACACTCATAGCAACTATGGCCTAAAATTGTACTTTTAGCAGTTGCTTTATAAATGGCACTTATTTTTGGTAGCATTGCAAGAATTAGAGAATTATTTCAAAGTTTACATTACATACTACATACAATTCATTTACATAAAATTACATACTACATTTCTTAGTAGAATTCTTATCCATTCAGAACTGCAACACATGTCAATTTTAATTGACTCAAAGCTGATGAACTTTAAATATATATAATAAATTATTTCTCCAACTTAAAATCTCAATCATCATTCAGATGAGTTGAGATCATGTATGAACTTTATGGTGCATGTCTTGAATGTAATGTAAGCTTGTTCATGACCATAAAAAATTATAAAGGATGAAAAGTATTCCTACAAAATAGTAAAGCATATATGTATAAATAAATTCATTTGTACTGTCAGGATTAGAATTCAAATGAAGGATTGGAATTCAAATTATAAGGCTTTCATTGTTATAATATTGTAGAATTCTGATGTCCCACCTAATGTGGATTGGGATTAACTCAGATAACATGGTTTGATAATAAGAAAATTTTAATACGATGGGCTTATTGTACAGACTAAAGGAAATTTACATGTAGAATTCGTGCAGGTTCGTAGCAATATGAAACATATTTTCATTCAAATGTATAAATATAAACATAGTACTAAATATGATATGTACTATAAACATAAAAACACCTACCTGTAATACAAGTGAATTGATGTACATTATACATGACACATCACACATGTTTAAAAAAAAACTCCTTTTCCATTGTGCTACTTTGTTTTGTTGCTGTCATATTGCATTGACATCATAATGTTGGTTGGTGATGTGTCACCTTGCTGTCCAGCATAGATCAGTGTCTTTTCAATCATGTTCAGGCCATCTGTCTAACCCATCTTGGTTTGAACTTTCCCATGTCGTCGTCATTAGAACTTTCAATGTAATTTTAAAAAAATATCCGCCTGATATTCATCAGGATGTCTAGGAGTATTGTCCAAAATACCGACTGCCTTGTGAAGCGAATTATTTTCATCAGAAAATAGTTTAACACTTGGCATAAACTCTTTGTGGAACTATGACTTAAATGTTGTTGAATCCATCCAAGTGCTTTTTGTTTTAAATGAGGAAATAGGATGCTGGTTCATAGCATTCCTTTCAGAAAAAGAAACAACAGAGCGGAAGGGGCACCTGGAGAAGCAACACTAACATTTACCAAGCTGAGCCATAAAATATGCTATTTATTCTATGGTAGTTTTATCAAAGGTATTTTTGCATGTCTATGGTTCGTAATAGATTGAATGCACACAGCTCCAATGATTAATTGATAAAATTTATTTTATCAGATGAAACACTTCAGAGATCTGGAACTTTCCACAAAGATAGTCATACAGCTCTTCACAATATCGCAGATTACATTCAGTAATTACATTTCAAACTAGTGTGAATGTTAAATACAATGCAATGCAAAGCACTGCTCAAGAAAAAGCTACCCGGAGATATCCAGTACTCCAAACTCAGGCTAAGCTAACAGCTTAACAACAACAACTGAGAGCAAATGTTCTCTCCGGCCATGTATAGTTTTCACCCGGCCGCCGAGATATTTCTAGTACTTTCTGCTTCTCGAAATTACTGGAAGGCAACATAAGGGACAAATTATGGTTGCAGCTAATATAGTGATCAATTACATTTATTCAATTAGAATACCTATTATGATGATACAGGGAATGGACCAAAATGTCACCAAGCTTGCCAAAACCAATTCCAGCTTGTGGATATCTTGCCAAATTACTGAGATACTCATTTACTCAATGCTAAAAAGACTATTAAATTTCTCCTCACTCTCTTTGTAGTGCTGGAAGAAATCCAAACCTTAGCTTGTAACAGCGAACCAGATAGTAAACTTGCTTTCTGTCTCATCTGTTAACAGTGCTTCTGATGTCTGTTCATAATCGCTGTCTTTCATTGTTTTTCTTTTTGTGGCATTATAATCTCTAATCATGTGTGTGCATTAAGTCACCCATTTTTCAATTTCCTTTCCTTTCCTTCTCCAATTGCCATGACTTCACCAAAACCATTAACCACCTTTTTAATCATTTCACTGCAGTGTTGCCTGTTAATAGCTGCAAGCTTGTCGTCTAGTCATAAAACCACTTCTAGTGTTTTCTTCAACCAGTCATTGTTCAACAAGCATTCAAGCATATGTGCACGACAAAAAGAGAAGGCCAAAATAGCTAATACTGCTCTGTTGTTGAATAACTGCAGTGTACTCTGGTTCTGGTGTAAAAACTAAAAACCAACTGATTTTTTATTTAAAGCATTTCTGAATAGAGGCTGCCTAACTTAAATATGATAATGATGGTGTTCTTATCGTTATGGTTTGAATTATTGTTAAAATGCAAGTGCATTAGTTGTTTACTTTTGGAGCGAGGCTGTAGTGACTTTTTTTTAAATTATTTATCGCATTGAGCTTGGATAAGATGGAATTTCAGTTAATCAAAACTCAGCTAATCAGGATTCTACTATATGTAAATATTGAAAATTAAATACATATGTTTTGCATAATGATGCTTTATATTACCTAAATTTTTAATCACAAATGCAGAATGAAGTATCTGTGAAATGTGATTAGCTCATTTAAATCACCGTAATCTTTATTGTGCTTAGCTCATTTAAATCTTCTAAACATATATATATATATATATAATTTATTTACTAATAATATTGATTATATTATCTCATAAGATTAATTATAGTAGAATTATCTGAAAAGAGTGAATCCATACTTAGTAAGTTCTATTTCGAAAGATGTTTGGAAGTAACTTTAATGTAAATTGTTAAAAATGTTTAGTGGGGACTCGAATTGTGCAAGTAGTAGAATAACTTGATTTCGCACTAAGTAAATTTAAGATCATATATATATATATACACTGACTACCAATAAGTATTTGGACACCTGTGATAGAAAAGAAAAACTAACTTTATTCAAAATCAATAGTTGGTAGAGCCTCCACAAGAGGTCATTACAGAGTGGACCCTCCAGGGCATACTTTCTACAAGTCTTTGTATGATAGCTAGTGGTATTTTCTTCCACTCGGCTTGGAGAAGACATAGAAGCTCCTTCACCGATTTTGCACGGGTAGTGCACCCCTGAATTCGGCGATGCAACTCGTCCCAGAGGTTCTCGATAGGGTTCAGGTCTGGACTCTGGGCAGGCCAGTCCATTCGATGAACTCCATTGCCACCATACCAAGCCTTGGTTAATGTCGAAACATGACAACTGGCATTGTCGTCCTGAAAGTAATAGGTCCAACCCATAAAACTGCCACAACGTAGGAAGCACATTGTCATCCAAAATAGTGCAGTAGGCATCGGAGTTGAGCTTACCATGAATGGGGACCAAGGGTCCCAGCCCATACCAGGAGAAACAACACCCCCAGACCATAATTCCACCTCTGCTGAACTTGACTGTTGGCACAATGCATTCTGGCAGGAGACGTTCTCCAGGTAGACGCCAGACCCAGACCCTGCCATCCGAATGGTAAAAGGTGAACCTTGATTCGTCACTCCAAAGAACGTTTCCACTGATCTACGGTCCAGTTTCGATGTGCTTTGCACCACATTAACCGAGCAGCACTTTTGGACTTTGTGATCAAAGGCTTATGGGCAGCAGCACGACCATGAAAACCAAGCAGATGTGCTTCCTTACGAATGGTATTCATTGAAACAATACTCCCAGATGCCTGTTGAAATTCCTCGCGGATGAGGGCCATCGGTTGGGTGCGGTTCTTCCGAATTTCTCTGGACAGCACTCGTCGGTCTCTATCTCCCAGTTTCTTTGGCCTGCCGACTCGGGGCACATTCCGACAATAACCGCTCACCTTCCACTTCTTAATCACATAGGCCACTGTCGATATTGGGTACTTCAGATCGCTAGATATGTCCCTTAAGGATCGGCCACATTTGTGATACCCGATAATTATACCTTTCTCGAAATCAGAGAGCTCCGAACCGCGAGGCATCTTGCATGCGTCTAAAGCCGATGCTGTTTCCTACATGATATATACCGGCAGAGCCCGTGACGTACCTTAGGACCGCAGATATCGTCATTTGCACAGGTGTCCAAATACTTATTGGTAGTCAGTGTATATATATATATGTATAGGTATATTTAGAAGATTTAATATATGTATGTTAGAATATATATATGTGTACATAAAGAAACTTAATAAGAGGAAAAAATAAAAAGCAAATTTTTTAACCTAAAGCGATTTTTTTTTTTTTTTTTTTTTTTTAATTATCCTGCGCTTATACCTGCAGGATTGAAGTAAAATAAACTTAAAGCATTAAAGTTATTTATATATATATATATATATATAAATACAGAATGTATGCTTTCTTTTAAACAGCTTTTTTATATTTCTTGCTGATATGATCATACATTAATAATCATCAGCTATATGGATATACATATGCATATAGATATATATAACATATATAAGGAAATATTTAAATATAACATAATTAAAATGATATGAAACATTTAATTATTTAAACATTTAATTAAAACTATGAAATATACATAAAACCCATGTAAATAGGAGAAGGAGAAAATTTTATAAGTGCCCAACAAACTACACTTTATGCTTAGTTGCATAACTATGCATTAATTTTTTGTTTGATTTTACTATTTTATTAATATTTTTATTGTCTAAATTTTATTTATAACTATTCATTTCATTTTTAGAGAGATCCGCGTTAGTTCTTTCATGAGTGATTTGGAAAGAGGTAAAAAAGCTGCCCAAGTTTTAATGCAAAAAGTTCCACACATCATTCCACACAAAGAAGTAATGTCATTTTGTATCCTTTTATTTTAGTTTATTACTTTTTTAAGATATTCTGTACTTCTTTTTAAATATTTTCAATAATTGTTTTACTTTTCTTTTCCAGCGAGTGGTCTTATTTAGGAAGTATGTAAACAACGAAAAAGAAATATTAGGTTTAACTGAATCAGCCTGTGCTTCACCACAGAGCACATTAATTACTGTCCATAGATCTAGAATTGTGGAGGTAAGGTAGTTTGAATGATTATTGATAACTGTAATTTTTAAAATAAACTCTTCTACATTTTACTTTAGTTGCTAAATAATTCTTTTACTCAAATAGTGTGTAAAAATCCCGCATAATTACATTTTTATGAAAAACAAACTTCTTTTCTATACTTCTTTCTCATTTCAGGATGGTTATCAGCAGCTTTCTATGTTACCATCACAGTCGTTAAAGGGTGTCATAAGGGTAAAATTTATAAATGAGCAGGTAAGAATTTATCAAACTGGAAGAATATTGTATGCATTTGCATTCTCCTACCTTGGTTATAATCACTTTAATGACAGTTTCAAACATTAAAAAGCATTTATCCACTTACCACAGACAAATGCTTTCTAAAACGGGGTGTGCTCATTATTAACTAACTATACTGCACTAACTGTGGTCTTTACGTACATCATTTTAATAGATAATTAGATAGTAATATTAGTTTTTAGCACTTTTTTTTAATTTCCAGTTGTTTGCTTTATTACATTTTAATCATTTTTATGATTTAACTTAAATTTTAAGAATTCATACTTTTAAAATAATAATGTGCAACATGTCTTTTTTTTCCCATTGTATACAAGGTGCCTTTTGTACAATAATGTTAACTGAAAAATCATATTCTTATTTTACATCACATTTTTAAAGCTGTACGTTCCATCTTTCTTATATTGCTTGTATTCCTTTTTTAGGGCTTAGACGAAGCTGGTATTGATCAAGATGGTGTTTTTAAAGAATTTCTAGAAGAAACAATTAAAAAAGTTTTTGATCCTACATTAAATTTATTTCGAGTATGTTCATATGTGTATTTATTTATTTATTTTATCTCTGTTAAATAGCATATAAGCTGCTTTGATTTTTATATATAGTGGGTTTTTTCCATATGTTTCAGGCCACTAGTGAAGAGAGGCTTTTTCCTTCACCGACATCTTATATCCATGAAAATCATTTATCGTTATTTGAATTTGTTGGAAAAATGCTTGGAAAGGCTGTGTATGAAGTAAGCTATATTTCACACTTTCCTTCCTAGAAGAAAAAGGGGTATTTTAATAAATAATCATTTTAGAAAAAGCAGAAGAATTTTATTATAAAAGTACTAAATATTATTGCAGTTTCAATTTTTTATGGGGATTCATTAACTGATCATGATTTTTGAGTTACATAATTACTATTAAGTTATATATCTTAAAATACATTTAAACTACTTTTTGATACAATTGTGAAATTTTGAATAATCAGTTCTGAAAACATGCACTATATCTATGCATATTTGGGCATTTAAATTTAGTCTTTGTTAATGAAATTTTTGGTTGAACACCATTTATGTAATCTTGAATGTAATGCCTATAAAGAAGTTCAGACTAATCCATTAGCTTGAAGTACTCTATAGCTGTAATAATAATGAATCACTTTAAATTTCAGTTTTTGTATGGAATTAATTTCAAATAGAAAAGTTGAATGCACATCAAGAAATAAGCAGCAAGGTCATACTTCTTCAGCTATATAATACTTGTAAAATAATTAACGAATTATTGTCTAAAGTTAGGCAAAAAAGCAACTTAGTTTGGCCTAGATTTTGAATAAAACACATGTTCCTCTTCTTCAGGAGCAAAATATGTTTTGAAATTTTTTTTTAAATGCTCTGCTGCTCAGAGTAAATACAAAATGTGAACATTAGAAAGTATGCCTTTAAATGTTTCTTTTATACCTTAAAAACAACCAAACTTTTAATAAAATCCTGTTTTCTGTTAATTTTAAAATAGAAGTAAAATATTTTGTATTATGATTTCTAAAATGAAATTTTTTTGAAGCAATTTATGTGTATTTTTTGTAAATATTAAAGTGGGGATTAATAGTAACTTTGCCAAAATTAAATGGTCAAGGTGTTATTTGTATCCCTTTCTGAATTAATCCATAAAAGAGAGTTAGAAATATGACATAGAAAGGCATTTTAATCAGATGAAAATAAATGCATTGGTTTATTATGAACTCTTTATTCATTAGCCCTATTGATGATTGAACTTAATTATATTGATTTTGTAAATTGAAATTATCAGGACAATTTAAAACCCAAATCTGTAACTATGTTAAACAATATTTTTCATTGCCATAAAAAGAATCTGTATTGTAATTAACATATTTCACCATTTATCTCTAGGGAATTGTTGTTGATGTCCCATTTGCATCATTCTTCTTGAGTCAAGTTTTAGGTCACACACATAGTGCTTTGTACAGTTCTATTGATGAGCTTCCATCTTTGGATCCTGAACTCTATAAAAGTTTGACGTATATTAAGGTATTGTTTAGTTTTTTTTTATTTTTAATGATTAACTTATTATTTTGCAAAAGCTTAAAGTATAGGAAGGTAACATTTAGTACTATGGCTTTGAAAAATCTGTTTGATATCTTTTAATATTAAATATGAGAGAAATTTCTTAAAAAAACAATGTATAGTCACATTTATGCTGTATAATGTGCTAGCATCCTAGTTAATAAATTATGAAATCTAGGCTGTGTCTTTCTCTCTATTCATCTGAATATGTGCATTTGGATTCTATGTAAAACAGTTGATAAAAAAATTACATCTTTTTTAAGCATATTTTTTATGACATTTTAAAAAACAAGAACTTCAACATTTATTCTCTGATAATGTATTATATTTTATATCATAGTGTTAAAGAATAAATCAGTTTTATTACTATTAGTTAAAAAATGAATAAAATAAAAGCTATGCATATGATAGATGTGGATTAATATTATTGAAACATTAAATGATAGCAATCGTTTTCATTTTATGCAGTGTTTGTAAAACTAATTGGTGCTGTATCCTTATTTTGACATTATAAAAAATCAGTTTTGATTGTCACTTATTACTAAACAATTTGTCATAATTGTTTAATGAATGATTTTAAAACAGTAAATTCTAAACATGGTTACAGAATTTACTTTGATTGAAGTATTTAAAATATCTGATATTTTAGGAGCTGAAACAATTTTTTCTACCTTAAGATTTACTATTATTTTTTTAACTAAATTGTGTCTCTTCATGCTTTTTACCTTTTGTAATGCACATTTTACTGTTTTTATTCCTTAGCATTATGTTGGTGATTTACATGATTTGGATTTAACATTTTCTATTGATGAAGACTGCATGGGACAACTAGTCACTCATGAACTTGTTCCTGGTGGTAAAGCAGTTCCTGTTACCAACGAAAATAAGTAAGACGACAACCTTCCTCAATCAATTTAATTTTAGTGTACTTAGATTTGAAAGCAATTTAAAGGCGATGTTGAATAAGTGCTTAGCCTAACATACTTTTACAATAAATATCTGAAATTACTTTCTCAGTTTTCTGCATAATTGCTCTCCATTTCAATACATTTAAAGATAAACTTCGTATTCCAACAGGGGGAAGCCATTTTCACAGCCTAAGCCACTCTCAAAGATGTTGCTATAACATGAATTTTAAAGCGGTGCTTGAATTTCTGAAATAAAAAGAAATCATTTGGGGCTAAGTCTGATGAATACACTAAATGGGAATGAAGTTAAAATCCACATGCTAAATAGCAGTCTGTGAAATTTGAGCCTTGTATACTGCAACATTGTTAGAATTGACATTTGCAGCTTTTTTCTGCTGAGTTTGCAATGCTGTTATTGCTTCACAGTCCTGAGCCATATATTGTCATTACCTTTTCATATGTCATTATGTGGCATATAATCAGTGAATTGCAATTGCTCTTCATCTTTAAAAATGGTACCAAAATCTTCCAAGCAGATTAATAAATCTGAATTTCGGCTGTTGGGAAGTTCCACTTTATATCTGTACCATGCTGTCTTGTTTCATTTTCAGGTCATGGTGAAGACATGTTTCATGTTCTCTCTCTAGCCATGAATAAAAATTTTCATCACTGTTTATCATAAAAAAGTTTTTGAGAATGTTTAACTTTGTGTTTCTTCATTTTGAAACATTACATTCTGAGTACATTCTGGATGTATATCTTTGGTATCTCAGCTGTTCCACTGATCCAAATTTAATGCCTATTTTTATACAATCTGAAAAATTGTCACTTATATATTTTTTATCCAATATTTCTTTGTTTTTACTCCTTTGTGACATGGTGAGGGAAAAGTTTCCCTCTGCGCACACAGAAAAATTGAATGAAAAAGGATTTATATCTTAATATAGGTTACTCTGAACCTTCTTTATTTATACTAGAACCAGTACATATATTTTAGCCATGTTTAGTTTTTAAAGACCCACATTTTTCAAAGAAATCTTCCAGTTTTTTTTTTTTTTTTTTTTTTTTTTTTTTAAGTATATAAAAAGAATTGTTTGAAAAGGAATTTCTATGTTATTTTCTTTGCTATATGCTAGTCTCCTTATTTTATATTAGTTTTAACTTTTTACTTTAAAATTCTACCTAAACTCCAACTGCGAACATCAGGTGTGTCCTGAGTGGGATCACTAAGACACTAGGACCAGACTAACAACTGTATATTTGTTTCACTGTAGCTCTGCAGTAGGCTCATTCACAATGGAAATGGGGGTCCACATCTATGTTTTATTTCCTTTTGACGGGAGGTTTGGTTATCAACTAAGAAATTGTTGGGATGATTTTCCGAAAGTCAGGGGTAATTTAATCAGTTAGCTGTTTGGTTTTTCACTAGAGCAGTTCTATTTTTCTCCGCTTTCATTCAAAGAAGTTTTGTTAGCACTCCGTTTTGATAGTTTTAGTTGTAGACATTTATTTAATTTTATTTTATAGTTTAAATTTTCTTAATTGTAGATATAATATTAGTTCATTTTTTATGATTTCTTTTTCATTTTATTCTGATTTTAGTTCATTATTTTTCCCTGATTTTTAATTATTTTGCAAGTGGATCGGAGAGGGCTGACAATTTCTGAAGCACTGAAAGTGCTACATGAATTGCCATCAGGTAGCGAATCTGATACGGATCCCAGTACATATGCGAAACATGCAATGTTGGGTTGTGCGTTTTCAAAGGTGGTATCGTTTTCTTCGAAAAATACCACAGGAAAAATATAGACGAAAGTGTAAATACAAAATGCAAATATCATACACCCAAGTTATTTTTTTCCACTTACACACATGTAATCATCATGTTATCGAGACAGCTTTTTTGTAGGTAGGGGAGTAGAGTAGCAGGCCTCCTCGGGTAATGCTAAATCTGCTACAATGTTCAGAATCTGGTGTTTTTTTAATTGTAGGCAAAATCTTTTACTTTATTATGCACTTCCCAGCAATGCACGCTTCAGCACTCTTTTCTAAGCTCTATTCATTCAGTGAGCCTGCTCTGGGCACACCCATAGAATTAAACTGGTAAGTGCTATCTTTATAAATTTTACCTGTGTGCTTACTCCTTTAGGCATGATTAGACTGCCTTAGGTGGGATGATTAGAGGGAAATTTTTTTTGTCGAAATTCTAACTTTAAAGGATAGCGTGTCTAAAAGGATTAATGGCATTTCTTCTCATCTAGTGATCCCATCTGAACTCTTGCCTGGTCTGGAATCTCTTAAAATGTTGCTTTTTTACACTTATACATTGTAATCCACTTTTGTATGATGGCATAAAAATACTGCAATTGTGCTTTCGTGAATATTTGTCAGTATTAGGCATTCTTTTGTCTAGAATTCGGTCACCCAATGATATTATTTTCAATATTAATACAGTCAAATACCGAAAATCCGCCGATCTGAAATCTGCCAACTCCTGAAATCCGCGTTGCCTCTCAGAATATAAACATTCAGTTTATAGGTTCCGGAAACTGCAACATTGAGTGCGAAATATCAAAGAAAAAAATACTTACCAAATAATGACGTCATAATTACCGAATAACAATGAGTCAAAACAGAAATATCAAATTATTGACATAAAAAAGTTTAAAAAATAAGATAAAATAAATAAGATAAGTTTTTTCCTCTCTAATCTGCATCAAGAAAAAAAAGCAGATGATTCACTCAACTCTTTGTTCAAGTTCACGATTCTCATTGTATTTTCTGAGCTTTGTTATTTCATTTTACGAGATTGTTTAGTGCTGTCTGTTTTTTATCGGGATATTTTGTGGATAAATTAAGAATATTTTTAATTTCAGCCCTGTTTAATACAATGACAGATAAGAAACTCGTGATTTTACTGCTTGCAACGTTGAAAAACGTAAACACGTTGCATTGACGGTAACGCAAAACATGCAAATTCTGCAAAAGATGGAAGCAGGTGCTACTCCTCGATTTATAGCAGAATGATATGGAATTGTGACACGATTGTGTATGATATATGGAAAAATAAAGAAAAGCTGTTGAAATTTTATAGCAACAGTGATTCTAACACAGGAATCCGAAACCGGAAATCTTTGCATGAGGCGAAATCGGCTAACCTCGATGCTGTATACATATAATACAATGAAAAATATAATCAATTTATATATAATTTAATGCATATAATAAATTATTGCAATAATGTATATAATAATTTAATTAAATGTATCTAATATGCTTTATTCATTTTGCACTTTTAGTCCGAATATTATGCTTTATCTTTTCTGTCCTGAAATCCTAAAATCCGCACAACCTCTGGTCCCAAGCTTTGCGGATTTCTAGAATTCTACTGTATATTATATGTAAGATATCAGAAAATATGATAGCTGCTTCAAAAATAATTGGCGACATCAAAATTAATGATTCTAGATTTGGTGCTCTCTCCCTAAATTCATCTGTTCTCCCAAGTTTGAGATCATTCTGTGTTATGTAACAACCTCAAATTAACCAATCATAGCTTGTCTCTAATTAATTACATCAGACTTGGTATAAATACCGCTGGCAAATAAATTACTTCATTCTTTCTTCCTTAACTGCTGTCTGTCAACATTGCATTGTTTTACCTTTGCTTAACTGCCTACGTACGTCATTTCTTGTTAAAAACCAGTGTACATAGAAATTTGTCATATTTCATTATGATTGAATCATAGAAATGTATTGGATTTCATTATAATTGGATAAATATCTACTGAGAGGATTTTATATGCGTAGAAATAACGATTGCGTAGAAATAAAGATTCGTTTAATTCATTTTTGTGTTGGCATCATCTGTTCATCTTCCCAGCCTACCACTATGCCACCATGACTGCACTTCAAAAACATTATACAGTACAAAGTCTGTAATCCAGTCTTCTATTATCCAGAATGATCTATAATCCGGACCTCAAAGCCACAAACTTTACGCATGCAAGTAAAAAATGTGCATACATTATGGCACGTAATGTATGTTTTACACATGCACGCGTTGAAAGAAATATTCAATAAAGTAAACAAATAAATAGAGCTTTTTCTTTTTTTTTTTTTTTTTTTTTTTTTTTTTTGTGAAATTTGATACCCTTTAGATCATAATTGCTCTTTATCTCATAAATTACGGTTTTATATTTTTAAATGTATAATTTCTGCGTGCCATCTTACCAAGATTTAAATTGATGATCTATAACCCAGAAAAACCTCTAATCCGGAATCGCCAAAGTTCCGACGAGTCCAGATAATACACTTTGTACTGTGTATTAGGGATATGATAATTTGTTCCTAAACCTGAGAAGGCGGTATAAGTTGAATGACTATCAGTTGAAGGATTTGTATATAGTGTAATTACTCAGTTGTGTATATTGTAAAAAGCTAATTGTCAGACTTATGCTGTTACTAAAGGATTGGCCTATTTCATAATCTTTAGTCTGTCAAATAGCTCTTTATTCTGTCAAACAGTGAAAGTCATGTCGAAACAGTAAAAGTTTTTACTTCACCCAAGTCATGTCGAAACGATTAAGAATTTAAGAAAGAAACAAAGGAATTTTCACTGTTTGACAGACTTCTTAAATTCTTAATCGTTTCGACATGACAATTAGCCAGAAATTAATTAATTTCCATTCGCTAGTATTTTCAAAAAATTTTTTAATAAAGTAAACAAATAAATATTGAGCTTTTTTTTTTTTTTTTTTTTTTTTTTTTTTTTTTTGTAAAATTTGATACCCTTTAGATCATAATTGCTCTTTATCTCATAAATTACGGTTTCATATTTTTAAATGTATAATTTCTGCATGCCATCTTACCGGATTTAAATTGATGATCTATAACCCAGAAAAACCCCTAATCCGGAATCGCCAAAGTTTCGACGAGTTCAGATAATAGACTTTGTACTGCGTATTAGGGATATGATAATTTGTTCCTAAACCTGAGAAGGCGGTATAAGTTGAATGACTATCAGTTGAAGGATTTGTATATAGTGTAATTACTCAGTTGTGTATATTGTAAAAAGCTAATTGTCAGACTTATGCTGTTACTAAAGAATGAGCCTATTTCATAATCTTTAGTCTGTCAAACAGCTCTTTGACAATGAAAATTCCTTTTTTCCTTTCTTAAATTCTTAATCATTTCAACATGACAATAAGCAGAAATTAATTAATTTCCATTCGCTAGTATTTTCAAAAAAAAAAAATTTAACAGCCGGTTTCACTAAAATAAGAACTCCACAGAATACATCCCTCAAGAATTCCGAGTCCCACTCACTACCATAAATTACTTCACCCAAGTCTTACCGACTGATATTATTCAAAGCCCCTGCTGCCGCTAAGCATTTTCGCAAACACTACACTTCTGAGTCAGACGCGAAGAGAACACTTTGCCCACTAGAAAGTATTTTCAAACGTAAGTTAATTAATACTTATAAAGTAGTAATTAATACGTATAAGTTAATTAATACTAAAAAGTTAATTAATACTTTTTATGGCCTTTATATCTTCATGCACATTCACTTTTCTTATTATATTTTTTATTTTTATATTATTATTATTTTTTATTTGTTTTTACAAAGTTTACATTATTTATCTTATATTTAGTAATTTTCTAATGTTTTTTTCAACTACTTTGAATTCTATTTCATTATGACAATTTCCAATGTTTAATTTTTACAAATAATATTTAACTCAAATGCATAAACACAAGTGTGTCGGGGGATGGTTACTTGAGCATTGCCGAAATTTACTGCAGAAATTGCTTTTCACTCACAATTGAATTGGCTAAAATGCTTAATAGGAATAAGTTCTTTGAATATCAGCATTGGTTCATAATCCCTTCTATTCACGGAAATATTTGGCCTGACATGAATTGCCGGTTTGGCTTAGCCTTATTGCTCGAGTAAAGACAAAATGCCGTCGTATTTATTTATTAATTATTGTTCATTGAACAGGAGTTGGTTTGTTCCCCTTGAAAAGTCAACTAATTTCCGATCAATGACAATGATTACATGCATTTAATTTAATTCTTGCCTTTAATTTATTCCTTTTACAATTGAAATTTTGTTATTCATGATTTAATTCCAGTCCCCGTTAAAGCATTTTTAACATTTTACTTTCAAGTTGCTTCAAAACATGTTTCAAAATGTAACTTACTAGTATGGATTCACTCTTTTAAGATAATCCTACTATAATTAAACTTAGGAAATAATATAATCAATTAATTAATATTATTTAGTAAATTATATATATATATATATATCACTAAATAACATTTAACAACCTCTTAAAAATCTAATAATGCCTGCTCTTTGTGTTTTAACTTTAATATTTCTAAAGGATGAGGGAAATATTTTCCCATATTTCATTATTCCATTCATTATATCCATTAGCATAATAAAGGTAATTTCAGAAATTTTGTAGCATGGTATGGGTATTTCAATAGATCGGAATCTTACATGAATGCAAATATTGCATTTTAGCAGAGATAATAATTCTATTGATCACATTGCAAAATTACAGTCAGTCACAAGGGTCAATAATTTGCATACATTTTTGCAAATTAGAGTAATAATGGTATTATTTTATCATATTATTATTATTAAAGTAATTTCAGCACGTAAATGTAGTGCAGTTTTATTACTCATCAGCATTAAAATACTAAGATGCATGTCACTGACTTTTTCCTGATTCACATTATGATTTTTTTTTTTTAAATTTACACTAATTCCATATTAACTAAACAGTATTTAAATGTATACTCTAAATGTATTCTGTATTCACCTTCAATACTTTTTACAACTTTGATCAATGCAATTTCTTATTCTTACAGTAGCCATTTCATTTACGGATTTGACTTTTTCGTAAGAAGTAATTAATAATGTAAGTTAAAAAAAACTATGACTATTGAAATATATATAATGATGTTACATTTGCATTTTCAAAATTTATATTTTCTAGAATCAGCTATATCCATTTAATGGCTCATTTTCGAATGCATGTTCAAATTCATGATCAAACTAATGCATTCATTAGAGGCTTCCGTTCAATTGTGAATCCTGATTGGCTGACAATGTTTTCTACTCCAGAACTTCAGCGGCTGATTTCTGGCGATAATACTCCTGTTGATCTTGCAGATTTGAGGTTAGTTATAATACACTTTATTTACTTAATGCTAATTACTCTGTGTCTAGAAGTTAATCAACAGGCATAAAAATTAGCATATTCTGTGATAGAAAAAAGGGCATGTAGCCACAAAATTTTCAAAAATAACAGGGTTATACAAAAATTAGCCTGTGATAATTAGCCCATGGAAAGCATTTTGTGTACCAGTATATTTTAATAAAAACAGCATGTACTGAACCTATATCTTAGCATTATGGAATTTAAAAAGATAAACAAAACAGCAAAATTTTGAAATGGGAGTATTCAACATCATCTGAATGAGGCTATGTAATGGGAGATAACAGGGCATCTGAAAAGGAACTCTTAAGCAGAAGTAACTGAAACCCTAAATGTCAGTCGTTTCATCTGTTCTGTCTGTTGACTGTAAATCAAATATCAGAGTGAAGCAACTGTGTTGCAAGACCAGTAAGCTGATGCTGAAGTATTACAAGTAGTCAGAAGGATTACTTTCTATATCTGCAAGCCTGGCACCAAAATTCAACTGCTGTACATTGAATTTCTTCCAGCATTGTTGCACCGACAAAAAAATGGGCAGGTAAGCCAGAGTTGGTTGGTCAGCTGTATGCAAGACAACTATCTATACTACAATGTAAACCCTTGCATGGAGGGGCCTATTTAAAGTTTTCAGAGATTACCTCAACTGCACAACATTGGAGTAATGTGATGAGTCATGGTTTGGTCTGCAGATTGTTTCCTGCTGATTTTAGAGTAGAAGAATCCTTAGAACTTGTTATTGCAGCAATAATATCTGTAAAACGTGGGGAGGTGGTGGTTAAATGGTTTGGGCAGGGAGTGCCATTGGCAGTGCTATTGATCTCCATATTTCTTTTTGTAATAATATAACTGCTATAAAGCTGTCATCCTTGCTCAGTATTTTAACTCCTTTGAATCCTAATGCAATTTTTATGGGCAGTGATGTAGGAGTTTAAAAGAACTTGCGTTATCAGCATGTATTTGGAATCAGAAATGCTGTTTCGTATGAGAATTGCCATCTACATCCCGACTTGAATTCCAGTGAGCATGTATGAAAGGTATATGATTTCACTCTATCACCCTCCCTAGAATTTTAACAAGCTGAGAATATGCTTGTTGCATGAACAGGCTGCAATAAGTAATCTTATTCTTGACTTAAATCAGTGCTGTTGGGCATCATTTCCAAGCAGAAGTTATCACTTTCATATTGACAAATATCAACATTTTTTATTACTAAAAATTGTATATTTTTGTTTACTTTCATATTTTTATTTATCGCAAAAGTTTCTTTTCTAGTATTTTTCGATTTACTCCATGATTTGCAATGCTTTTCAGTGGATTGGATTACAAATGTGTCTTTTTATTCATGATCTTGCTTAGGTTTTAAACTTAAGTGTATTTATTTACTTTAATAATTTTTATGCTTGACTCCTGTATTTTTTTCTTTTTTTTGGGGGGGGGGAGGGAAGTTTAAAATTGTTAAAACTTTTTTGAGAAATTTGTTTTCACTTAATCTGCATCATTCATCATCATTTAATGTATTCATACATCTAATGTGTTTTGAATATTTTATTAGGAAACATACGAAATATTTTGGAGGTTTTCACAACAATCACCGAGTTATTAATTGGTTGTGGGATGTTCTTGAAAAAGATTTTACTCAAGAAGAGCATCGAATGTTTTTAAAGGTATGTTTGTATAGTAGTTTAATGTTTGTATCATATGTAAAATCACTCACTTGCAAAACTCATGCATTTTAAATGTATAAAAGTTCTAATTTTAAAAATTAGCAACTGAAATTCAAGATTTTACATTCCAAATATCTAAATTTTTGAACCACTAATTGATGTGCTGTAATATTTTCCCTCTATTCAGTGAATGAAATGCTTAATGTAAGATGGCATTTCTCTCTCTTTTTTTAACATTAGAAACCATGCGTTATTGTTTTCATTAAGTGAAAAGTGAATATTATGTCATGTCACTTTAAGAATTGTAACTAATTACTGAAGCGTAGATTTATATTTATCTTCCTTGTTGTAAAGGTTCATTGGTTGGCAGTGTAGTAAAATATATTATATATGAAACAGTCTGTTCTTCTCTATAACATTTCTCTAAAAATATTATTTATGTTTATATGTTAATTATAATAAATAAATAAAATAATTTTATTTAAATAGTAATATTTTTTAATAATACTTTATATTTTTATTTGTATACTTTTACACACATACACACACACAAAAAAAAAAAAAAAAAATTACTGAAATATATGTACAATTGTTTAAACCTAAAATATTCTTTTGAGTTTTTACGTAATAGTAAACAGTCTAAGTATTACTTTTATTTAAGAAAGTAAGTATTTGTATTATTTCTGTCTAGTATGTATTTCAGCATAGTGTAGTTTATAGAATTCAGAATCCTTACTTTTTGTTAGTAATTTACATATTATAGCACAAGTAAATATTTCTTACCATAAAAATAAATGCACAAGTAAATATTTCTTACCATAAAAAGTAAATGCACAAATAAATATTTCTTACCATAAAAAGTAAACGCACAAGTAAATATTTCTTACCATAAAAAGTAAACGCACAAGTAAATATTTCTTACATTAAAAAGTAAACGCACATTAAATATTTCTTACCATAAAAAAATCTCAGTTTTAGTCTTTTTAGGTTACACATAGAGGTTTTTCTTCTTAAAATAAGTGAACTTTTTAACTCATTTTTTTCATATTTTGAAGTTAGCATCTGCTATCGAATGTTAAATTAGAATCTGCTTTCAGATGTTCTCCGTTTGAATTATAAGTATATCTGAACTCTTATTATGAAGAAGAAACATATATGTATTTGAGTTGATAAGAATGCTGAATGCTGTTTTTTGTCCTGAATCCTTTTTCTGACTACTTCAATAAGTAGGTCTAATGATACCTTTAAAGAATTAATTTCAGTTTTTCAAAATTTAGCATTCTGATTATTTATGTTTATTTTCATTAATATTTCAGGCCTTGTTTATCCATATTATTACATAAATGTGATCCAATTTCCTTTCATTAAGTCTTTTTCAAAAGGCCATGCTCTTTTATACAATTTGCTCTTTTTTTACACTGAAAGACCTCTTTTGCATAATTGCTCGATTAAAATTAGATATTGCTTATTTTTCTATATTATGATAAAATGTTTATATTGAAAATATATTCTTAAGATATTTAATGAATTCTTGTACCAATTTAAAATTTTCCATTGAGATAATAGGTATTTCATAATTTTGTGTTTTCATATTTGTTATTAATTAATTTGTTAAATCAAATTAAGATAAAGTAAGTTTTGATGTTGAAAAATTATGTATCCACATTGCAAATTTCTGCACGAAAAGTATCATAAATTTAAGAGAATTTTATGAGATTTTACAGATATAAAATATATTTTACAGTCATCAAATAAATTTGAAAAATTATGTTGCTTTTTATATTATTTTCTAATTTCTGAATTAACTATACTAATAGATTATATTTCATATTAACTAAATTAATTAATATAATAATATAATTTGTGTGCAAAATGTAAAACATTCTTAAATTTTAAACCAGAAATTAGGTCAAAGAACTTTTTTTTAAGTTTACAAATATATCTCAGGACAACAGGTACTGTGTAAAAGCAAAACAATCTGAATATGTATAATATGATTTATCAAAATGTTCATTTAAATGGGAATCCTGATCTCATGTAACAGTTGGATAACATTGCCAAATATTCATTTATAGAAATAAGTATGAGTTTAAAAATGTTAAATATAAAAATTATTAATTAAGTATCTGTGTTGTTAGTCCATGACTCTTTTAAGAGAGTCATGGACTCTCTTAAAAAATAAGAGAGTCCATGAGAAAAATAAGAGAGTTTTTAAGAGATAATTTCTCTGCTGTGAAACTGTTATTATAATACTTTGGCCAAGAAATGTTATGGATTTTTTGCAATTTAGCTTGTGATTATCCCATGAATTTTATTATTTTCTACAATAAAATTTATATCCTAATTATAAGATACAATGCTTTTTTCTGCTTAAATAATGGAGACAATTTTAATTTCTAAGAAATAGGAATAAATAAAATTCTAGAATATATTTAGCAAATATTTTTTAATAATTGACTTTGATTATTAATAGCATTAATATTGTTTTAAATGAGTGATATGGGAAAATTACTTTAAAATAATCGGTGATTCAGAAAAACCAACATCATTTCTATGTTCTTTTTTTTATTAATTGTTTAACTAATACATACAAGGTGTGACACAAAAGAAAAACGAGGCTGAGTGTGTAGCTTGAAAAAAGAGTGGACTTGGCAACAACTGTTTTGGTGATGTTATGCCACACACCTCCTCTATCCATGCAGCCAGTATCTAATTATCCAGTCACACCAGTTGGGAGTACTACGTCAATGAGTGAACAACTGCATTCTGCCAGAAAAATGTCTAATGTAAAAAAACGAACAGCAAATCAACATCAAGTTTCTTGTGAAACTTAAGAAATCAGCCACGAAAACTTTTCAAATGTTAACCGAGGCTTATGGAGATGAAACTTTGTGTCATGCACGTGTGTTTGAATGGCATTAGTGGTTTTCAGGGGAAAAGGACAGTATGGAAGATGATGAATGTCAAGACATGAAAATTCAAGGCAATGTTAATTGTCTTCTTCGACATTAATGGAATTGTAATGATTGAATGGGTTCCCAGTGGTCAGACTGTTAATCAACACTACTATATTGAAGTACTAAAAAGACTTCATGAAAAAATTAAATAAAGGCCACAGTTGTGGAGTGATGGTTGGATGTTTCACCAAGACAATGCACCCGCTCACACGGCCCTATCTGTCAAGCAGTTTCTGACCAGCAAAAACATTACTGTGATAGGATATCCTCCTTATTCACCTGATTTGGCTCTATGCGACTTTTTTTTTTTTTATTTCCTAAAGTTAAATCTTGCTTAAAGGGGACCCATTTTACCTCAATTGAAGAGGTTGAGGCAAAAACAAAGATTCTCCTGAAGGGCCTTCCAAAAACCTCGCTCCAGAGCTACTACCAGCAATGGCAGCACCGAATGCAGAAGTGTGTGAATGCTGAAGGGAACTTCTTTGAAAGTGATAATGTCACAGAGAACTCATTCTGTAAGGACAATGATTTATTGGACCAGTGTCTTTTTTTTTTTTTTTTTTTTTTTTTCGTGTGTGTGTGTGTGTGACACCCTTGTATATTTTAAAAAGTGGGACTTGTGAAGTATTTTAATTTCTTAGTTATGCTAAAATATTTTTGAATTTTTAGTTTCATGCTATGTAATATAAATTTATGAACTTAAATAATTTGATTAAAAGCAGCAAATAATATAATTTTGTTTTTTCTAAATTGATATTTTTCATTGTATCATGTCACAGTTTGTCACAAGTTGTTCAAAACCACCACTATTAGGATTTGCACATTTGGAACCTGCTTTTTCCATTCGTTGTGTGGAAGTTAGTGATGACCAAGTAAGCATACATGTTATCTTCAACAACCTATCTGGCTTTTATTATTTTATAGCATGATATCAGTGTATTTTATTTAAAGAAATATTAATTATTTTGCTAAACTCATCCTCCAGTTTCATGTAGTACGTTCATATCATATTCACTTGAGATATTCACCCAGGTTATAATCATCTCACACTGTAAGAAATGTAGTACCTCATCACTATGCACAACAGTTCCCATTATGTAGTTTCCCACCTTCAAAAGTGTCTATTGACTAATATCACTTAACACATTAAGCTCTGCATCAATCCCTAGGAGCCAAACTTAGATCAAGTAAAGTAAGCTTGGCATTTCACTTGTTAAAGGATTGTGGTTTTTGTGCATATGTTGTATTCTGAACTATTAGGATTTATAGTTGCTGGCATCACAAAATCTTTTAAGATCTTTCTTTGGTAGTATTAAGTAAACTTTTACAATGTTCAGAAAATAAAATACCAAAAATGCTGCAATGAAAGATTAAGATTAAGAGCATCAAGTTAGTTAAAGTTTTACAATGTTCAGCTGTTTTAAGCAGTGATGTTATCTTGCCAGGCCAGATAAAGAGGAAAATTGATCCTATATTACAGCTTTAGGCAATCATAAAGGGAGACTTAGTCTAAAAATTACTCAGGGTGAAATTCTGTTTGAGGCAAGAATGGATATTTCCAATTTGAAGTACAACGTAACAGCTGCCAAAAATTTGGAATTTTTAACTTCTAAGTGTGCAATAGAAATGATACAAAATCACTCGTAACAGTTAAAAATGATTGAATACTAACACATTAACCTAAGCAGAGTAATTTTCAGCTGATTCAGAGGGAGTTTTCCCCCCTTTTCTTACGTTGAGGGACGGTATTACAAGAACATTTCAGAAAAAAATCAACTCTGACATCTCAAATTTGTTTTCATTAAACTTCCAAAACTTAGCCAGCCTGGTGATCAAAGTTGTCATCAGTTAACACCATCAAGTTTTTCTAAGATATTTTCACTATTATAGCATTTGTTTGCATTAAATTATGAGTACTGAAAAATAATAATAAATGCATCCGTACAAACATGGTGACCACAAATTAAATGTTACAAAATACACAATTTTATTTACATTTTCCCTTTTCTAATTTTTAGCTTAAATCTGGATTATTTGCACATAGCACACTCATATCATGCAAATTATTTCATCAAAATTTTTAAAATGCAAAGTTATTATGTTTTTAATATTATTATGTACAAAGAAAGTAGTGTCAATATAAGGGAAAAATATAATGAAAAGAAAAAAATTTGGAGAGAAATAACGAACTATCTTTGCTTAACATTAGAAATTGTAAATCCTTCAACAGTAAGCATTTCTGTAAGCTGAGTTCCCGCACCAAACCAGCCATTGCATTTCACATAAGCACTGTTGGATTACTATGAAATGTACTAGAATTAAGTTTTTGATTTATCAAAAGTAAATTTCTTTTTTCTTTATCACGCTTTACTTAGCCATGTTTCCCATTTTCAGCACTAGAAAAATCTCGACAAATCATGATTTCAAGAATCTGTTTCTATCTGAGGCCACTGTAAACAGGCTTGCAAACAAACCAGCTGTGAAGTGCATTTAAGTTTGAATGCAGCATCTGCTAAAACAAGAGCAAATAAATTCTTTAGACTGCCACATAATTTTAAAACTGATTAACTGCACAATTTTAGAATTAATGTTAAAAGACAGCAAAAAATGTGCCCAAAGTAGGGATTCAGCTAAAGCAAAAAATTTGTAGTAATTCACAATCTGTACTATGGAAAGAGACTTCTAAAAATATTAAATAACTTCAGTAATAAGATAGTTTTGCTTCTTCAATCAAAATATGTTATAAATACTGTGTATTTTCATTAAAAAATCAATTTTTATGTATGTATAAGAAAAATTACCATGCTGAATTTTTTAAATCAAAATTTTTGTTTTTTTATATCCAAAATTAAATGGATTACAGGCAATCATGAATAGTAATCACTGATTATCTGAATTCTGGGCACAGGAAATGTAACTACAGGCTGTAGTTTCTTAAATATTGATCCTCGGCATATTCTTTCAGTTACACAATTTATCGAGAATCAAAATGTTATTAAAAAAAATTTCAACAGAAAGCGGTCTTAACCCTTTCAGGATCAGCATGTGTCATATGCAATGGCTACGAACATTATCTCACAGTCGGATGTGTCACATATGAATCACCATGTCAGTTGATTCTGAGGATAGATGTAGCATATTAAGAACTTTTAGATAGAACATTTAACTAGTATTTTTTGTTGCTATTAGATATAGCCGTATGTTTGGTATAGTGAAATTGATGATGATTGAAGAATGTTAATCTTTCATTGCAGCATTTTTTGTATTTTATTTCCGACTGGAAGCAGGAATTAGGTAAATAAGTAATATAACCAAGTAGAACTAGCTGTTAACTGCATCAACTGATATAAACAAATGCACATTTTCCATGCTTCCTTGGCAATATATAGATGTTCTGTGGTTTTATTCATTCTTTTTAGAGTCTGGCTAGCCTTGAGATAAATATTATGTATATCATTTAACAAAATATTTTGTATACTTCAAATAGCAAAACAAAAACAGTATACACACATGATGAATGACTAATTTTCTGACACTAATGACAGTGGTGATATTTCTAAAGAATTGGAAAGTGTTAGTTGTAGCAATTCTAATACGGACATATTATCAGATACAGAAATGGCAACTTGTGTGCCTTCTACATCTCAGGAGAATGACACATTTCAGACACATTTGTCACTGGACACATTTTGGCATAAGGGCACTTCAACATTTGAAGTCTTTTGGTTTTGTGAGATCATCAAATGTTTATGTTGCAAGTGTTATCAAAAAAATTTTTTTTTTCATTATGATGGTGATAATCTTATAAAATACATTGTGAAAGAGACAAACAGTTTCGCTCAAAATCATCTTATAGTAACCCCCATCTTCTTCAAAATCAGTGGATTTTTTTAGAAATGACACAGGAATGAATTAAAGTATTTTTAGTTTGTTTATTGTAATGGGAATTATCAAAAAGCCTAACCTAATTTTTGAAACATTGATCTTTTTTTATTGTTTTCATGCTGGATATTTTTTAATATTTTTTATTTGTATGTAATTGTTTGGATATTTTTCCATATGCAGTAAAACTCAGTTGTCTGGAAACCTCGAGAAAGGCCAAATTCTGAATAATTGGACATTCAAAAAATACATTTCACAGTAGAATATGTAGCCAAATAAATGGAAGAAAAATGTTTCGGTCTAAAATGATAAAAAAAAGTAATTTTATTTGTTATCAATGCCTTATATGAGATTTCAAAAGAAAGAAAGAGCATTCCAGACATAAGCATGAAAATAAAACATAAATTTTATTATGAAATTCTGAATCACCATGAAATATGGCAAAGATCTCGCCAACCTTGCACTAGTCATTCCAGAAGAAGTTTGAAGAAGCAGATCGCTCTTTGTGTATTTAAATAATTAATATGTGCAAGTTACAGACATCACATATTAAATTTTGCTTATCATAATTTTCATACTTTTCTTGGTGCTACTATACTACATGCTGTTATGTTGAATACAAGTACCAAATTTTAAAATTTTAATCATGTTTTAAAATTGCGATGGTTTTGACTTGTATTGTTTTCTGCAAAAATTAAGCCAATTTATCGAGAATAAATTAGGTTTACGTTGGATACTTGAACTTTCTGATTAGTTGATGCCAGATAGTCGGCTTTTACTGTATATTTAGAGAAAAGTCAAAAATTTTATTATTCTAGAATTTTTAAGGGTGATGTAATGATAAAGTTTTAAAATTAATTCTTATAACTACCTGAGTGAGTATTCCTGTCATAATGGGCCAAAAATTAGAACAATTAGAGCACAAATTTAATTTATGCAATTTTTTTTCAAAAGTTAGGTTTAGCAGTTTGGATTGCTCTTTCCCACAAAACAGTGCATGCTATTAGAATTTTGAGAGAGGGGTTTAGTGACTGAGGCACTCATCGCGAAAGGTTTGACACAGTACATAAAAAGTTTTATAAATGTAAAATTTAGCTTGTTATGTAGGCCAACAAGCATACAACAAAAACTTTATAATTGCAAATACATATGTACGATCAGCTCTCAAGGAGATAGTACCAGTAATTATGTTCTTTTTTTATATCTATATTTTATGTGAGTTAGTGTGCAGCTTTTATGCAAATAATTATGCAGCTTCATAAATATTTCACTTTGATATGATAAAACTGACTTTTTTTTCCCATAAAATTAAGAATTTACAATTGAGACAATTCTGCATTGCAAGTGATCTAATTTTTTCAGGATACAGGAGACACAGTGGGAAGTGTCCTTCGTGGTTTTTTCACTATTCGTAAAAAAGACCCTGTGAATCGCCTTCCAACATCGTCTACATGTTTTAATCTCCTGAAACTTCCTAATTATCAAAAGAAAAGCACTTTGCGTGAGAAGCTGCGTTATGCTATAGCATGCAATACAGGATTTGAGCTATCATGATGTAAATCTCAACCTTGCAAATTATTTATGATGCATGTATGCACATTTAATTCACTGTATATATATATATATAAGCATTTTAGCACTTTATATGCAGAATCGTCAGCAAATAAATTCATTTCATATTAAAAGTATATTTATGTTTAAATATTATGTTAAATGCAAGTTCTTGTAGCACATTATATGTCTAAATTTTAAACTTAAAAAAAAACTATGGTAGGAACATCATGATCAAAATATCATTTTATAAATTTATTTAGAATTATTTTTTGTGTTGATTTTTTATCATTCTTTTGAACAGAAAATTCTTTCCTTTATGAAGCTTTTAAAGAATTATTCTTTAATTCTTTTAATTTATTTTCTTTTAAAGAATGCATGGTTTTCAGCTGAATTTGTATATAATTATAAATGTTCGTTTTTATGAAAGTTTCTGAATGTGATGCTAACCTTTTAATGTTTTATGAGAAAGAATGTTGCTGAAAGATATGAATGTCATACAATATCTTAAAATTAATATAGTGTAAAAGATTGCTGGCATCTTGATTACACTACATTTGTTTATGTAGATATTTCTTGTTATATTTGATTTTAAAGATATTTTTAAATTGTGTTTGTATGAGCAGTTATTTTTATGAAGAGATGTGTGTTATTTTTTGTTGGTTTCAAAGATTTTTAATATCTTTGGATTTTATATGAAATACTTGTTAATATAGACTTTATGAATTTGAATGTAAATAAACATGTGATATGATTAGGAGTAATAATTCTGTGTACTAATATTAGTACAGTATAAGATTGAATGAATTCTTTTATCAAGGTAACTCCTGAGAGAATATGTTAGAAGTGTGTCTTTAGTGTTGTTATCTCATTTGAAAGAATGTTATTTTTAATATATATTATTAGTTATCCTTTTTATAAATGCCACTGTCTGTCATATAGTTATATGTTATCATAAAGCTTTGAAATTCTTTATAATTTAACTAAAAATAGTCACTTCCCACCCCCAGCCCTACGAAGCATGACTAGTAAGCCATAAAATTAGAATTTATGCACCATTTGTAACATTTTTTAATTCGTATTGTAATATAATACTTATTAAATTCTTTTTTCCAGTTGAATTTCTCGTAATTCTTTTATTCTAAGCTTTTAAATATTAGTCATTTTCATACACATTACATGAAACAGCATGCTACCGAGAGGTTAAATTCAGTAGTAGAATTTTATGTATCAGACTTTTTTATGAGGTGAAAAGTTGAATTTTTCCCTTTCTTATTAGTAGCTTTTAATTTGTTGATTTTGTGATACTTGACTGTATATTTATGTATTGATAGCTTGAGTTTGTTAACATATGGTAAAGCAAGAAATGCTGTTTTTGACTGAATTTTAATTGTTTTTAAACTATGTTAAAAAAAACTCATTCAACATTTATGCTAGTTGATTGCTTTACATTTAACATATGTGAATTATTTATTTGTATGTTATTAATGTGGTAGCTGTTTCATTCTCATCAAATCTGAGTATTGCATTTGTAAGTTTTGTTATTTTATTTGTTGGTATATTAAGAAAATGTGAGTATAATACTCTTATTTTGCTTATAGCTGCTATTTGATTTTATTTATGAGAAGAAAATTATAAATCTGAAAAATAAATTCTTTTATTATTTCTGTGTAGAAATATCTCTTTTAAGGGTTTTACCTGTTAGCATATGTCTTCTTTAAAATTATATTGAATAAATGGCATGTTTTTCTGTATTGTTGCACTTTCCAAAAAAATTAAAAGAAATTATATATCTTGTTTTAAAACTCTGAGTATTCATGGCTATCTAAAAGGACCTTGCGTTCTTCAACCATATTTAATAATAATGCAATAAATTTTAAGTGACATGTTATGTTTGTTCAAATTTTGTCATAAAACAGATCTTATTTAACCTCAAAATATAACCTCAAACTATTCATTTTTTTATTCTATAAAAAAATTATTATTATTATTATTATTTTATTTTATTTTATGTTATTCTATGAAAATGAAAATAAGACACCGAAAATATGTTAATTATTCTACTCGTATAGCCTGAATATTCTGCAAATGTTGAAGAAGTTTCTTTTCAAATAAAAAATGAATAACAAATTAGTAAATTATTTTTAAACAATACATTTCAGATTATTAATTTCAATTTTATAATGAAAATAATTGCTAGTAACCCCTATGTATATGAGACGCTTGGAAAAACAAATGGTTTTCCAAGTTTACAGTTTTTAAGAGATACAGTTTTACAAATACAGTTTTTAAGAGATGGCATTTGATGTAGGATTAAGAAATAAAACAGGTTTAGGCTTCAGAAACTAATGAAAGCATCTACTGCTAAAGAAGGAAGACCTATGTCAGATTGTCCTCAAGACTTAAGAGTTTCATTCAATGTATACGATACTGTGAGGCTTCTTTTTACCTGATCAGAAATATGTATAAAAAATATCAGTTTGTTATATTACAAGTATGTTATATTATAATGTTGAATAATGCATGTTAATCATTTTTTTATTGCTGGTAAGTGCAGTTAAGAAAGAGTATTTTCTTAATTGTAAATTATATTTTCTTTTCTGTAATTTTCTTTTTTCCATTTAAAGCTAGATTTTGTTATTATTTTTTAAAGTTTTATTATTTACTTTTTAAAACAGGTTATATAGCTCCTACTCCTTAAGATTTTGATAATAACTTCACTCTGTATCTTGCTTTGGTTCTATTAGCCCATTATTTTAATTTACCTTATCTTACAAACTATATACTCTTTCAGAGAAGGAAAATCTCTTCTGTTTAAAATGATTTTTCTGTAACATATTGCATAATTTAATTAAAATATCATGAATTTAATTAACTTCATACTACATTTAATCTTAATTTTATCAGAAATCTTATTTACTTATTGACTGATTTATTAAAAATATACTTTTAGTTTCTGTCTCTTATGTTAAAAATTTTCTTTTCCTTAACTATATCAAACAAATTTGTTACATGGTTTGCAAATATTTATTCTGTATTATGTATGCAATATATGATACTAGAAGTAACTTTTATTAATTTCACTAATGTTAAAAATTTTTTATTAGCTATATTATAAACTATATAAATTAGTTGTATTTATAAACTACAGTAGTTAGAGGTTTTCATAAAATTTAAATGAAGTTATTAAGAAGTGCATGTATTGCTTTTTAATTACTCAGTTTATAAAGCAATATATGGTTTCAATTTGAAAGCTATATATATGACATGCATTGTCTTTAAAAGTTTGCACTATGACCAACTATATGGATGATAAATACTACTGTAATGTAATATGATCTAAGAAGTGCATGTATTGCTCTTTAATTGCTCAGTTTGTAAAACAGTATATGGTTTCAGTTTGAAAGCTAGCTATATGACATGCATTGGCTTTAAAAGTTTCTAATGTGACCAACTGCATGGATGACAAATACTACTGTAATTTAATTTAATGTAATATGATCCAAAAAATTTAAAAGCTTATGATATAGATATTTGTAAAGTTAAAAGAAAAGATCTGTAATTTTGTTTATTTTTTTTTACCTGCCTTGACAAATTTAGTAATAAGAAATTATACCTTTATTGAATTCTATGGAATTTTTAAGTTTTTTCTCTGAAAGAATAACTTCTGAGAAATTGGAATTCCAATTGCTTAGTTATTTTTTTTCCCTTGCAGTATTGGTCTTCTTAAAATTTTTAATTTATCTTCCTTCAAATCAATTTGATTTAGATTGGATGCCACTTTAACCAAATTTGCTTCAGCCAGCTCCCTCTTCTAATAAATTATTGATTATCTTCATTTAAATGTCATTAGAACTCGGTTTAATACAATATTTATACTAAAGTATTATATCAACTTATTTTGTTATGCAAAGCATTTTAATCTTCTTGAGAAGCAAGAATAAACTTGTGCTGACACAATCAAAAATTGAGGAGATTCAGTACCATTATTAGTTCAATAGATTCTTCAGTATTATTTTTTCCCTAAAAAATCCATTGCAACAATTCTTAATGTAGTGTGTTTTAATTGTAGTTTTAACTCTTTGATATTAACAATGATACTGTATAAATGATAGAAACACATTTCAAAACTGATTGATTTAAATATTTTTTTCCTAAAGCTTAGTGAGATATCTAATTTGACATCAGGTCTAAAATATTATAAAAGATGCATTTTTAATAAATTAACTAAACTTGTAATCCAGTAGGCCATTTTTACTATGCAATGATTAAATTTAGTGCATTACATTTTTTACTATGCAATGATTAAGAGATCTGTAAACTAGCTTATGACTTCCCATATATTCATTCCTTTGAAAATTTACTGCACAAAAGTAAATTATGTGATTTTTATTCCTTAGTGCATCAAAACTAGATGCATTTTTACATACATACTATGAAACAAATATCTTGGTCCTTTTTTTAATCCAAAATTGGTCTAACTGATGTGTTGTGTGTTCATTCCATTGGAGTTTATAACAAGTTAGGAGACTTTTTTGCTTTTCTTTTTAAATGGTCCGAAATTTAGAATTTTTATAGTTTAAACTGAATTTGTATGCCATCATGTTTTAGAGATGTCACATTATGTAGAATTAACCTATATACTAAAAATAGCATTTTGTGATGTTTTCAGTAAATTTTTCCTGTACCCTTTTGTATCGTAGTCATCCCATGACAAATTCTCTAAAACAGAGAATTTTATTTCAGTACTTATATTCAATACTCCTTAAATTTTTATCTATGAAAATCGTCTGCTTGAAATAATGCACTTTTACATAAAGTATTTGAAGATTGACTTAATGTGAATAAATACTTGCAAGTAATGAATTATTTTTATTTCTGTTAATGTATATAAGTGTGTTGTTTAAGAGAATTATATACTTCATGATGACCAAACTAACTGCAATGCATGAAAGTAAAATAATAAATCAAAATATGTTAAAGATATTTATGTCCTTATACTTTAAACATGTAATGAATTTGATTTAAAACAAAGATTTGTATTAAATTCAGTAATGCACAAAAAAGCATTTACTTATTTTATTATTATTGTAAAACTAAGTTAACAATTTGTGTTATTTTATGATACAGGGTGGCCTAATAACAGTGGAATATAAAACATTGTCATGTAAAATTTGTAGAAAATAATTATAACGATGTCAAAACTGCTTTAAATAGTTAAGGTATGAGTGAATTTTAATGTACAGAGTTTTCAAACTGTATGTTTCAGTTATTATAGTACAAAGTTGATTTCTGAATTCAATAATTGGACGATTTCTATATCAGAATTTAGATCTGACGATTTCTATATCAGAATTTAGATCTTTATTCTCTTGATCTCAACTATATAAATATGAGTTATTTATGTAAAGGTGTTTTTAATATAAACTAGTATGAAATATTCAGAAAGATTAAGGTATGGGATATATGTGGACATTCAATATCTTTCTGTTGAATTTTTTCTGAATTAATTAAGAAAAATGGATTTTCTATTTTGTACGATTCATTTCTGTCTCGAATGTGCGACAATTGGAGAAACATGTTATGGTGATGAACATTTCAAGTGCAAAATTTCATCCCATTTTTTTACTAATAATTCTGTCTATTGACGGTACCATCTGTGTATAAGCACATCAATTTTCTGCTTAGAAAAATCTCTAAAGCTTTCTATTTGTCTTCTAAATGCCGTACTTTTACTTTTTTATTTGCCATTCAGTCAGAAATGAGCCTTATTGCTAAACAAAATATTTTTATTTTCACTGATTTTCCAATTATTTTTTTTAATCTTGATCTTAAATTTTGCAAAAGTATATTGTTCTGTTCCTGTTCTATGTTCCTGTTTTTATGTGGTTAATAAAGATGTATTTTGTACAGAAATAATTTCACAATGTTTGGTTATTTTTAGGGGCATTTCATAATATTTATGATTGTGGTGACTTCTTTCTTGTTGAATTTTGTATTTTTTTTCCGAATATTAGTTTGTAATTCCTATATTTTTGTTCTGTCATAAAAGTAGATGTCCTGTGTTTTCTGCAGGCATGAGAAATGTTACATGCTAATTAAATAATCGTTCCCTTAAAGTAAAAAAACTAGAAAAAAAATTGGAAAAATATAATGGAAATTAGTTTACTATAAAAGTGAAAACGATTTTAAACCCTGAAATGCATATTTCATTAGGAGCTTTCTTTATCTCGCACTCATATCCACATCCATGCTGTATGATATTATTTCAATTATAAGATTTTCCTCTGATACGTAGATGTATGTTTAATGCTTCTGTAATGAAAACTTTTCAAACTAAGAAAGCCATGTTCTGATATTTCAGAAAATAGACTCTTATAATATAGCAGCCATGCAAATAAATAGAATAACTCAATAAAAACAGAATATTTATAATAAAATAATTATGTTATTTGGCTTATCTTGTATTTGAATAGCATTGTAAAGTAAATATTATTTATTTATTTGTAGTAATATGTGAAGTTGTTATAAATAGCATCTATTTGCAGTATGTTATTTTGTAAAGTTTGGTCCATGACAACTCATCTTTCTTTAAATATGTGTTCTTTTAATCAAAAGAAAACTGCTTCTCTTTCTTATTTTGTAATGTTAAATATTTCTTTATTTAAAGCATTTCATTTAATGCCTGATTTTTGGATTTTAATAATACTATTTCAATTTCTGTTCAGTGTGTTCAACCAATGAATTGCTGTTTCAGTTTTTGTTCAGTGTATTCTACCAATAAGTTTTATTTAAAGAAATTTAAAGTGATTACTGCATACTTCTGTCATTAAATTTTCCAGTTCTAAAAAAAAAGAAAAAAAATTTTCATACCATGCCTGCAATTAATGTGCAGTAAAAACGCCAAAATGCACACAGTGCTATGTTACAAACATTAAATGTATATGATATTTAAACACTTTGTAAATGCAACACTTGCTGAATTTCAAGGCTGCAGTTTGTTTGTAATAACGATCTGTTTCTAATTGTTTTGTTTAATGTGAAAAATAATTCAATTACTGAGTATTTTGCTAGGCATGAGAAAATTAATTTCATAACTTTTTAATATCTAGTTATAGTGTACTCTAGCATCATATCACTTTATGAACAGAAATAGTAAAATTTAATTTTTGAATGAATAATACCATACTCACAATTTTTATAGTATATTTTTGTGTGAATTATCTTTTAAAGACAGATGCTCTGGTAAATAAATGTGAATTCTTGGAAAAGAAATTATATTTGATTCTTTGAAAGCAAGAATTACATTGCTCACACATGAAATTTTCCTTCAAAAAATTGGCACTTGCATGTAAATCAAATTTATTGTCTTGATTACTACAAACTTCTGCTATATAGTTTCACTGTGTATATGTACTCCTACTGTGAATACATAAATAGAGAGAGTAACTAGTGGTGTATACGATAAAAATTAAAAAATATACTCTTGTATATAGATATACTTACCATAAAAAAAATAAGAATTATATATATGAATGTATAAGTGCTGATGGCTTCAAAAACTAACATTTCAGGATTTTTATCTCGGAGGATAAGGTTCAGTAAGCCAAGCAAGTTGTCAAGGGATAACAAATGTGTTCACGAATCTTTAAAAATTGTATTGCTCAAGAACTTTCCACCTGCTAAGGAAGGGATATGTTAAATACCTGATTTTCACTGTTATATCAGTAAGAGTAAGGTTTTAATGTTTCTCAATATGAAAGTCTTAAAGTTTGAGCATGTGCAGGAAAGAAGACAATAAATTAGTGAAAAAGCTTCATTTGCAGCTTGGAAATGCAATATTAAATAATACCAAAAGCAATTACAATGAATTTTAAATGTCCACAGGTCTGACCTTTAAATTTATAATAATAGCATATCTACCATTTGGGGTTCCTTAAAGCCTTGCATGTATTGGGTTGGAGGGAAAGTTCTGTCGTATTTTAAAGAAAATATTTGAATTCATTTATAAAAATATGTGTTTAATATTAATCAATTATATATGCTCCGTTATTTGTTACAACCTGTTGCCATCTTCCAGGTAACCTGTAAATTCCTGTTTTGTAGAAGTTCTCATCCATGGAGTTAAAATAGTCAGCAACTGCCTTAGAAACACTTTCAAAAGACTTGAATTTTTTTCCGTTAGATAATTTTGCAGAGATCTGAACAGGTAATAATCAGAGGGTGCAATGTCAGGTGAATACGGGGGTGACTAAGGATTTCCCATCCTAACGCATTCAGTTTTTGTAGTGTCACCACTGCAGTATGCGGGCGAGCATTATCGTGATGGAACACTATTCCTTTTCTGGACGCTAATGCTGGCCTTTTTTCTTTGATAGCTGCATTCAATTTATCCAGCTGATTGCAGTACAGATCCGCGTTGATGTTTTTTTCCCTGTTTCAGCAACTCGTAATACACTGGACCTTTCCTGTCCCACCACAAACAAAGCAGTACTTTTCGTTGATGGATACTTGGTTTTGGAACTGTTGCTGATGATGTTCCTGGTTTGCAGTAAGATTTTTTTTTCTTTTAATATTCTCGTAAAGAATCCACTTTTCATCTCCAGTAACCAGCCTGTCCAAAAACGGCTCCACATTGTGTCTAATCAGATGTGATGAACATATTCTTACACGATCAGACAAATTCTTTTCCGTTAATTCATGTGGAACCCAAACACTTTGCTTTAACACAAACCCAAGAGATTTAATGTGATCTCCAACAGTTGTATGATGAATGCCAAACTCTTCTGCAATTTCTCGACTTGTTAAATGTGGATTATTTTCCAACATGGATCGCAAAACATCATTATCGATCTTGGATGGTCGTCCAGATCGAACACTTTTCTTTGAGGCTCAGGTCCCCGGAACGAAATTTGCTAAACCATCTTTGACAAGTACGAACATTTACAATATCTTTTCCAAATACCGCACATAAATTTTTACATGCAACAGATGCGTTGCTTCCTTTTTGGAATTCATATAAAATGCAGTGTCGTAAATGCACTTTATCTACCGACATGTTTTTCCCTTTAAATATTACAAGTAAATGATGAACGGTAAAAAAGGGCACCTTTTATATTATACAGCAGCTAAAAAAAACAAAAAAAAAATCCGATTGACTCACTAGCCAGATTTTTTTTTTTTTTTATTATTTACAAGAAAAATCACCTGCCTATTTAAAATACGACAGAACTTTCCCTCCAACCCGATAGTTTTCAATGCCTTATGTGGGCTTTAAATACCATCTTTCCTCAAGCTTAGTAAAGATCCGGTAGCACAATAGTTAAGGTAGCAAATGAGAATGTTCCATCCGTAAAGTTACTTACTGCAGTACTTCGATCATATGGCAGTAAGTTGGCCATTTCCAATCATATGAAGAAAGCTGTAACTCTGAAAAGTATCCATATGACAACTTAATTACACCAGTATGTGACAGCTGTCATCATACTGGTTAAAAGAAGAATGCCCAAATTTTTCTTCTTCTAGAATATTAGTACATATTATAATATTAAGAAAGTAATTAGTTCTTTCCATTCAGCAAGATAATGAATCGCTCCCAGATAATCAAACTTTCTTGGCTGTTAATGCTAAATCTGTTGTTAAAAATTTGTAATAGTAATTGCCAAAAACTTGAGAGTAAATATCATTAATTCATTCAATGCTGATTGTTTAAAGTGCTATTTTTAGCAAAATCGTCAGTGGTATTAGGATTATTTCTCCAGTTGCTGGTCTGTAAACAGTACAGTAAGATTTTTTTTTAATGCAAGTCACTCATTTTCAGGTTTAAATTGCTGCTTAATCGATTTTTATTTAACCAAAGGCCTGCCACAGCAAGTAACATTTGCAGCCATTACAAGGAAAATTCGCAGAAACATAGAATAGTAGGAATTTTGTTCAGGAGGCTATTTTAGAATTAACTGCAAAAATTCGAAACGCTCGTCCTTTCACCTCCATGTTTTGTCTTTTCAGAAAGGAACTTATTTATATAATTGTAAACGTAATTTAAAGAACGTTCGTATTTATTATTCAAGAGTTTCGGCTCACAAGCGGCCGATCCAGTTTCTCTTAGAAAGTCCTTCACAAAGGCATCCCTTCTCTAGACAGATAGCCTTAGTGTGCTTTGCCATAATCAGCTAAACCAAATCAAACCATTCAAAAGAATAAGAAAAGTGTAGCAAGGAAAGAAAGCCGTTGAAATCTCGCTCCGATTTCTTTTGAATACTCAGTCTAGTGTAAGAACAATTTTCACTTCAATTTAGTTTTATTTGCCAATTCAGCTTTTCGTGATTCTTCACATCACAGTGACCGGGTGGATACGGTGAGTGATACTGATAGTTCGATCTAAGGACACATCCCAAAGAGCAAGTTGCGTGCACTTCATGTATAAAGTAGGTTATGTAACTTTATATTTACGCATGCGTGACGTGAATATGAGCTAGTTCTTAGTTTTCAATCCTTTGTCGTCGAGAATTGTAATGTCTTACGAAGACATCCGTCTCCCTAGGCAGATAACCTTTGTAAGCTTTTCTATAGTACAATAAATCTGAATCCTTTTCTGCTTCGAAGATCCATATGACGGCCTGCTTTCATATAAGAAACAGTCCTAAAAATGTGCTATAAGAAATGAATCGCCTTCTCTGCTGAACTGTAATGCAATTGGCTAATGGTTTTGCTACGCATTTTCATCACTTATTTTGCCCCACCAGAGGCTGTGGGGCAAAGACCGCTGAAACTGGGAGTTCGACCTGGGTTTGATCCCAGGTGAACGGGCTGGCTGCATATGGCTTATTTTCGCGGCTTTTTCCAAGCATAATGTGAACACGAGCCAGTTTCCTTTCGAAAGCGCTCCACAAAGGCTTCTCGAGCAGATAGCCCTGCCTTTCTTTGCCATAATTGAATAATCTATCCTAACATTACTTATTTTATGTAGAACTTGTATGTGTATACAAATTGTTAGAAGGGGAAGAGCAATCATTCCTATTGGGATCCGTTCAGGCGAGGCAGAGACCATACGGGTATTATCAAGTCTGATGTTTGATTTCGTAAAATTGGTCCTCTGGGGCTTCGGTTCCTTTGAAACGACCAGGACTGGTATGGCTGGCCTTCCTGCAGCTGGGTTTGAGTTGCATTCTGTTCTGTAATAGGTCCTGGTCCGATTCTAGAGAAGGCATGGATGTATGTGGATATATAGTATTTGGGCGGCATGGGGGCACATGAAATAGTGGCGATCCGAAAGGCCTCACAAGTGGTTTGGTGGTAGAGAATGAGGGATGGGAAACCCACGGGCCGTTCCTTGGAGTGCTGTCCATCAAAACGAGCGGAGAGGTACAATTAGTGCGGTGGGATTATACCTGTCCAAACAATGGTAAAATTCTAATGTTCCGCCTACTAGTACCTGCACCTGTGTTGTACAGGATTATAAATTTAGAAAATGATCGAACTGATTGAATTCCTATGTGTAGGTAGCAACGAAGGCTGAATTAAAAGTTTTAGAGGACCAAAGCGCTTAAAAAAATTTGGTGCACTCAATATAATTTAAGGCTTCCAACTTTTCTCTTTCTAATTCATTTTCTGTGGACACCGTACATTCCATGGTAAAACCATCTGTTTGAAGCTTTTGTGTTGACCATTTTCCCTGATGCCTTAAACACGTGCTGTTTTTGCTTAATATTTACAGCTTTGGTACTAACAGACAACGGATGGTAACTTGAAACATTACGACTGCAGAACACCTGCAAATTTACGCTTAATAGACCTCTATCTCAGCGTTTCCCAAAGTCTGGGTCGCGACCTGGCAGCGGGTCGCAGAAAAATTCAGCTGGGTCTTGGCAAAAATTGTAAAAACACAAAAAATCTATAAATTTTGCTCTACATTTAATATTTTTCGAAACTTTTTCAAGTACTACCAGTGGCAATGCTTTACCACCGTTTCCTTACCGGACCGTTTAAATTCGGATGCTCTAATTGGCTGATTTCGATTCGTCATTCAGTGCCTTCTCCGGTACACGCGCCGTAAACTCACGGGTATCAAAACAAGGGTATGTTTGAATTTTTGTTACCTATTTTATTTGACTGTAGTTATTATTACCTGTTATTAATAGCAACTTCATATTGGTAAGTAATAAAAATACTTTTTCTTATAAATCATTAATAAACAAATTCTTTTTATTAAAGCTTTCAACCTTTATTAAAATGGATAAATGGTTAATCAAGAAAACCACAGATTTAAATGATGA